TTTTCCCAAAGAGAGCATGGATACCTAAGAGGGTGACACAGGGGACACTTTAAGGGCCACAAATGAAGTTTGTACAGTGAAATTTTTCTTTCAGTGAGATTTTTTTCATCCCTCTGATAACCGAGCTATCACTTGTTTCTAACATTTCATCTTTCCAGAGAATCAGATTTCATAGGCAAATCTGGCTAAAACAGAAGTTGATTTCTTGCCCACTGTTATTATTTGTATAACTTCTTCCTAGTTATATTTTGCTGATTTTGTTTTAGGAGTCACAGTTTTCCTTTAGAAAGTAAGCATATTTAGTTTTTTTTTTTTCAGAGTGTAAGGAAAATGTCTCATATTTGGGTGGTGTACACATGGTAACAAAGATGCCATAGGAAGTTTAGGTCAGGCCTTGGATATGGAAGTTTAGGCTATGCGATATTCAGTAAACAATGAAAGGAACTGAGATCTGGAGAGATGTTTTTATGCCCATGAGATACGAAAATTCCTCAATTGCTGAGACATGATCATTTACCTTTTAACATGTACTGAGCTGGGAGTAGCTTGAACACCAACAGGGATAGCCCCCAAACAAAATTTTTTAAAGTCCAATGTTTCCCCTCACAATCATATCCATTTTGTGTCCACTTTTCCTGAGGTATTAGACATCTTTTGACAGCACAGACTGGAAATTGTTTTCTTCCAGAGTAGTCACATAGTTTCAATTTTCTTCTGTGCAGAATGGTAAGAGATTGAAGTGGGTGGTATTTTAGTTTGACAAAATAGATATATTTTTGTTTTTATAACACATTTATTGAGATATGTCAAGGGATGTCAGTATAGTATAAGCTGTAGCTGTTAAAACAAAAGTTTGCTGGTAGGGGAGGTCCTACAAGAAAAAAACAAGAGAAAGTTTTCCAACATTATGTCTTGAAGGTGAGTTATGTGAACGGTCTCTGTAGAGGCCTTTGTTCTGAGTGGACACGGTGGGGACTGAATGCAGACAGCAGCACGGGTAAAGATGCACACTGCTTTTGCAGGCCATGTTGCATTTCCACCTTGATTCTGGAGAGACAACATTCCTCAGTATTCTGCTCTCTTACCAACAAAGCACGGACTGAAAACAGATTTCCTAAGTCCGCTATTTAGGGCTGTTAGATGTGCCACTAAAAAAAAAAAACAAGACAACTTTGAAACACTTGTAGCTGATAAAAATGAACTAACTCAACACTGAAATACATGAAACATACTTTTGTTAGAAATGGATTCCCTGTGTACCGCAGGTCTAGAAAGTGAATGACTTTAACCTGTAATTTCTTTAATTAAAAGGCACATACATCATAAATAATAGCAGATGATGAAAACTTAGTTTGTATATTAGAGTTGGAGAGTGAGAGGAAGGGGAAATGTCCAAAGCACATCAATGTCCAATATAAACTATTAGCCATGACCTAGTCAATATTGAACTAGTAGTCACATAACTACTGAGTACTGAAAACGTTAATCTCATAAATTTTATTCACACTATGTACTAAATTAACTCAGAATGGACCAGAGACCTAGATATAAGAGCTAAAACTTTAATACAAATTCTTTCTGCAGGGAATAAGCTTCATGACATTGGATGTGCGAATATTTCTTGAATACTAAAACTACAGGCAACATAAGCTCTTCCCCAACTGGTTAATCACCTATTTCCCCTAAGCAGTACCTATGGCTTGTAAAGTCAAATTCCCCAGAAATCTCTGGATTTGTATAAGGTAAAGGTAAAGGTAAAGGCCCTCCCGTTGATCGTCAATTTGCTCGAGCGGGCCCAGTAACGTCTCCATTGGAGACTTTGTTGTTACTGTGTCTGGCATATCGAATACGCCACGGGGAGCTTGCCAGGCTCTGCCGTGTGGGCGAGATACTCTCGGTAGCTTGCCGGGCTCTCTCCGAGAGGGGCGGAGGAATCGAACTCGGGTCGGCCATGTTGGATTTGTATGTCTAAGTAAAATATTGCTTTTCTCCTTCCTTTATGTCCTTTCGCATTGTTACTTCAGAGCAATGTCCTTTTTATAGACAAAGGAAGCTAATACTATGCTTTTGTAACTTGGGAGTTAATTGATTCTAAATAATATTTATACCTGGGATTCTCACTATATTTTCTCGACTTAAGCCTGTTACCCTTAGTTCCCAGCACCCCAGAAGCAGGGTCCCGATGAAGGGACTGGACGGACCCAGGGCAAGTTATGAGCTATCCTGGCATTCAAATGGGCCAGGCCAAGCTCTATAATACTTAAGAGCACGGTCATGGACAAATTCTGTCATAATTCAAAGAGTAACAACTGGACAAGGACCCTGCTTAGGTTTGGGAAGAGTTTATCTGGCCTGAGCACTGTAGTTTGGGATCTATAGCAAGATGTCCCCAGGAAAGCCATCCTATAAGCTTAATCTATCTTTCACTATGTCCATACAAAATGACTAGAAAGATTATTAAGAAGTAAGCAAATCTAAAATGATTGTTTATGGACTAAGGAAAGGAAAAGTATGTCCTTAGATAAAACTCCACCCTTGAGCAGGAGATCTCTGTCCTCTCTTAGAAGGGTTTTCTCTGGAGCCAGAGTACAGAGTGCAGCGGTTAGGGTGTTTGCTTTGCATGCGGCGAACCTTGGTTTGATCCCCAGCATCCCGTATGATCTCCCCAGCACCACCAGGAGTAATCCCTGAGTGCAGAACCAGGAGTAACCGGAGCATTGGGTGTAACCCAAAATGCAAATAAATAAATGAGTAAATAAATGAAAAGAGGTCCCTCCCCCCCCCCCAAGGGGCTTTCGTACATGATTGTGCTATCTGACCTGTGTCCCCAACCCTTGGAGTTTGTGGCTATAATAACTAAGGCTGTAAGCGTGGGCACGGGGAGAGGAATAAAGAGGAATAAGGAGGGGGATAGGAGGAGGAATATGGGCAGGAAGACTGGAGGAGGCAGAGGAAGAATAAATGGCGACTGATCACCAACCACCCTGGCTCCTGTTTTCCTCCTTTGTTCTGCCCATTGTCATGGGAGGAGGGAAGCAGCCCAAGACCACCAGGGAGGTGAGAGTGCGCCCTGGCCTCCTGTTTATTTACTGAACACACAAACGATGATTGATGTCAACTCATCACTAAAGAGATGCCAACTAAAACTTCATACCAAGGAGGATGGCTACTGAAGTACAGACAAGAAATTGGGACCATTATGCTTTGCTAGTAGGAATTGTGTGTGATTAGTGTGTAAAATAGTAATGGTGCCCCTCCCCCCAATTCAGCAACAAGTACCAAATGATGCAACAGTTCCACTGAGGTATAAACCCAAAAACAGCTGATGCAAGGACTTGGACAGATATTTGCATACCTGCTTTCAGAGAAAAGGGGCCACAGTAGTAGAGCAGGTAGGGCAATTGATTACCTTGCATGCGACCAAGCTGGATTCAATCCCCAGCACCCCATAGGTGTTGACCCCTGAGCCCTATCCAGAATGACTCCTGAGCAGGGCAAGGTGTGACCCCAAAGCCAAAACAAACAAAAAACCAAACTCCCAATCTCCCAAAACAGCATTATTCACAATAGAAACAAACCTAAACAAACCTTTCGGTTCTATGAAAGCTGGTATGCACCTATCTGTCCAAGTGTATTGACAGATGATATGTACAGACCCAAGTGTGCATTAGTGGATGAAATATATGAGGTAGGTGTGTGTGTGTGTGTGTGTGTGTGTAGCTCAAAAAAATTGGGGAGGACCAAACCTGGTGATCTCAGGGATTACTCCTGGCTCTGCATTCAGGAATTATTCCTGGTGGTCACTCAGGGGACCTTATGGGATGCTGAGGTCGAACCAGGTTGGTGGCATGCAAGGTAAATGCCATACTGGCTCAGGAGCCTCAAAAAAATTATATATATATGTATATATATATTTATATATATATGATACAGAGCAGACGAATCTTGAAGACTCATATATAGAAGTGGAATAACACACACAAAAGGCTAGTTTGATTTTATTCAAAATACCTAGTCTGCTTCATGGAAATAAAATAAAGACAAAAAATAAAAAACCCTTACCACTGTCTTGGCATTGGGGAAAAGATGAAGTAAATCACTGTTTTCCAAAGTGGGCAATACTGCCTCATAGGGCACAGTGGAACAATTCAGGAGGGCAGAAGCAGCCTAAGGTACAACTGAGCACTTTCTGACTGCTCACTTAAAGAGTTTCCAAGTTAGAGTGCTTTTCCCTTTTTGGGAAAGAGGGGGCAGTAAGTCAGATTAGTTTCAGAACCTCTGGATTAGCTGATGAAAGAGTTGTAGCCACAGTTTTCTAGGTTTAGTGATGGTTCTAGTTATTTTTAGTTATCACTAACTGTACAAACTTAAAAGGTTAAAAAAAAAGGCAGCAAATTATATTTTGCCACAACAAAAGTGGAGAGTGTGAGAAGCTGAATTTTCAATTTTAATTTATGTAAGGTTTAAAAACTGATACTTGATTCAGTTACCAAGGATCTTTTATGTTTCAAACACTCCTGTAAACTTAATGTTCCATGAAGGAAAGCTTTTATTTGAAATAGAGAAAAACAGCGTGTGTGTGTGTGTGTATGTGTGTGTGTGTGTGTGTGTGTGTGTGTTTAGTTTTGGGGCCAACAGCTCAAAATGCTCAGGGTTTACTCCTGGCTGTGAGTTCAGGGATCATTCCTGGTGGGGTTCATAGTGATCAGGAATTGATTCTGAATTTGCCATGAGCAAGTCTAGAGTCTAGTGTCTTATCCAGAACTCTTCAGAGCTCTCATATATATTTAAAATGGTAACTTTTTTTTTTAAATTCGAGGCAATGTTAATACTTAGCTCTTTTTATTACCAAGGAAGAAGTATCCTGTTTTACACCTCAAATCTACCTTTATACTGTAAATCACATAGCTTAACTTCAAACTCGATAACAGGACTAATAAATGTCTAAACAGTACCCTACAAAATAGGTTGAATTCCCCAAAATTATTAAATCAAAAGTATGCTGATACAACCAAAATGTTTTTATTTATTGATAACACATACAACACTGATTATATCAGTATTTCGCCTTCCTTAAAAGTACTTTAAGTATGCGTTAAAAATATATGTCAACATTTAAGAAATGTAACACATAGTCCTTGGTAAACATAACTCCTCGGTATATTTTCTTGCTGTTTCATACATAAATAACTTAATCTAAAAAGTCATAAATAAAACTATTAGTTCTTATGACCCAAAAGTATATACAAATTTTGAAACTTGACAGCTTATGACTTTAAAAATATCAACATGCAGTATTTGCAGTACTTACTACCAAACAGCCTAACATCACAAGTCAACACTGTCTCCCAACCAGTTCTGTCAATACATCTTCCAGTGCACCTGGTTAAGGATGCATGTCATAAAAGAAAGCAAAATGGCCTGGGATATGGCTCAAGTGGTGAATAATGTGCCTTGTTAGTACATGACCCTGAGTTCCATCCGTCATACTTCATACTACCAAGCCCTCCCAGGCATAGGCTCCACAAAAACAAAATGTCAAAATGGTCAAACTACAATTTTTAAAACAACAGTACAGGTTACTGTTTAAATATTACTAAGTCTTATTAAAACACTTCAGTCTGCAGAAAAAAAGGGCTGCTAAAGTATGAATGCTTATAGTGCCAGTTTCATGGAGTCTAAAAACGACTAAGACTTAGCAAACGTAATTAAATTTGTACATTCTTGGGAAAAGTATTCCACTGATTTCTATTACAGAAAGTTAATATTCACCCAACTTTTCTTTTCTTTTTTTATAATGCAGGAGCACTGCTCTTTATTCAGCCATTCATTAAGCTGCCTGAATTGGGCATGAGCTCCACTTAACCTAAATTTTCTAAAATTTAATTTGAACCATCACCTCAAAATTTTCAGGGTAAAAATATGACACAAAAATGACCCTAGAAGGCATACTCACAATTCCTGCTAGAGAACACCTAATAATTTAATTTCTGTTTAATGACTGAACAAAATATTTCCTATTAACTGATTTATTACATAAACAGTCAAGATGTTTTGGATAAACATGTAAATGTAATAAAATTAAAAAATGTCTTCCACATTGGAAATGTTTTAGTATGCATTTTCAGTCTTTCTTACATAAGAATAAAAGAGAAAGAAAAACACGTTCAATTAACTGTCGCATTAAATGTCTATGACTCAAATGACAAAATACTAAACTAAGCACTGCCATTGCTCTTAAAATCTAAGTTTCTAAAAGTTCTATTTCTTAGTACAAAAAAATGACTTGGTTCTGTCAAGCTTTCTGTTTAAAAAACTAAATATTCTTTGTTAAAGAGCATATTAGAACAAATGTTTCCCCGTGTGCTGATAAAAACAAGATTCTGATCTACATAATGAACCTAAATAAAAATTCACAAACGGTGGATGAAATTCTGACAACTTCCAGTCCAATGTAACATAAATCTAGAGTTATTGTACATAAACAATTTAAAATTAGGTTTATAATGGAAATGTCAACAAGTCATAACTACTACATTATTACTGATGGGTTCCACTATCCTTCAGCTAGGCACAGCAGATGTGCACATCTGATTGAGAGACTGCTTAGAAAATTAAAGCTAGCTGAGCTATAAATAAGGAATACATAAATAGGAATTCAGCAATGTCAATGCGTGAGCCACTGGAAAAAAAAAGTAAGACATGACGTAAACACATCTGATAGCTCTTTTTGTAAGCCACTTTGCACTGATTTATAAAGCTATAGTTGTGTAATTCTTTTTAAAAGGAAACTGTTTCTACACTGCTGCATGCAGTAATTTCGTTGTACACTCTTGACTACAATGCAATCTTCAAATTCTTTTGCAGAGCTTGACATCTCATCAGGATTTCTCTGGAAAAAGTCAGCTTGTAATATTTTCAGCAGCCTAGAACAAGAAAGTCACATTCATTATAATAAAATCATGAAGAAAGGGACCATGAAGATAGATTTTTTAATACTATACCGTCATTAAAAAACAAATCTCTCCACACATAAACTAAACAACTTTTATCAACTATATAAACAACTATAATGCAGAGTTTTTTCTTTTTTTGCGGTTTATTAGAAATATTAAGCTAACAAAAAACTTAGCTGAAGTTTTATAATGTGAAATCACACTGATGCTTGAGATATTAACTTACAGCAAATCCATTTGTAAGTTATTAGTTTATTTCTGAATGTCTTATTATATACAGTATAAAAATGGGATTAAGGATCAAAAAACCAAAAGAATAGGAAAGTCAAAAAAAAAAAGAAAGTTGACTGTTTCTGCTTTAACTATATTACCAATCATTATAGTTTGATTCTTTTGCAGAAATTCCCAAATACCAGGGACCTGGGGCATGGCTCAGTAGCTAAAAGCACTTGCTTGGCAAATGTGTGGTTGTGAGTTCAATCCCTGCTGTTACCCATGCACTAAGTTACAGTACTTGTGGCTCTATCTGGGACCCTTGGCAACACAATGTTTGCAGTCTGGCACACAGCAGGCTGTGTGAAACACTGCAACTGTAAGTGTGTGACCTCAATGTACCACAGATAAAGAGAAGTGAGTGTGTGAGTCCTGGCAAGTAGTATAGTATGATGTGTGTGAACACAAGGAAGTGTGATTCATCTCATGTGGAAAAGAAATCTGCATTCTATTTCGGGTACCGGGTATTGATCCCAGTGCCTGATTCATGCAAGGCATGCATCTTAATGCTTTTTTCCTGTCCTAGATATTATTACGGCCTACTGAATGTGGAATAATCAAAATGTTCAAACTGAAAAATGCCACGTTAAAGAAAGTGATTATGAACCTCCTCTAATGCCTTGGGTTTTATTTTATCTAAGAAAATACTGTGCCAAAAAAACAAAAAAATAACCATGCCTGTTATTATCTCCAGTACCTTATGTAGCTAGATTGCTTGCCTCTAGGTTTCTTTATGACAAACTGCATTACACTATAAAAATCTCTTCCTATTTGCTTTGAAACAACAGCATAGAGAACAAAACTCCTGCAGTTGTGGAAGAAATGTATTAACTCAATCCTCCTTCAACTAGAAATTTAAAAATCTGTTGACTGACCAAAACTGCTATTTCTTTTTGTTTTTATAAGGGTTATGAGAGAAAACTAAGCTCAGGAATGATCCCATACTATAGATCACTGTCTGAGTTCTAGTATCCATTTCATCCTCTCTTCCATAGCCAGCTGACAGTCTTGAGGATACAGATGGAAACTTAGTCATTAACAATTCTGAAGTGGTTACCCACTCTGTCTTAAATCCCAACTTGTATACTTCAGTGTAGGTCCTGGAGGGAAAAAAGCAAGGCAGACCAATAAGCTTCAGATTCTGCCGCACTAAACCATTAGGAGCAAGAGCAGAGGTGGAAGCAGCGCTGAAATGCTATAGGAAATAAAGTGAGGAAAGCTGTCTGTAAAGTTTGGCACAAGGAAAATATTTATCAACAAAAGCTCTGCTTTTCCATTATCTAGTTATCTTCCTTTTTGTAATAGGACAGCCATAGCTAAGTTAAAGAGGCAGAAATTTTTAAAGAAGTATGAGGTTTTTTTTTTTTATAATTAACTTGTAAATGAGTAAGAGACTAGAAACTTGACATATTTATCTTGCAAAGGATCTGTATACAGGTTACTTTAAAGACTATCAAAGGGCCGGAGTGATAGTAGGACGGGTAGGGTGTTTGCCTTGCAGGCAGCCGACATGGGTTCAAACCCCGGCATCCCATATGGTCCCCCAAGCACCGCCAGGAGTAATTCCTGAGTGCAGAGCCAGGAATAACGCCTGACCATCGCAGGGTGTGACTCAAAAAGTAGCACAGTAGCACTGTCATCCCGTTGTTCATCAATTTGCTGAGTGGACACCAGTAACGTCTCCTTCCTGAGACTTGTTGTTACTGTTTTTGGCATATCAAATACACCATGGGGAGCTTGCCAGGTTCTGCTGTGCGGGCGGGATACTCTCGGTAGCTTGCTGGGCTCTCTGAGAGGGATGGAGAAATTGAACCCGGGTCGGCCACATGCAAGGCAAACGCCCTACCTGCTGTGCTATTGCTCCAGCCCACCCAAAAAGTGGGGGAAAAAAAATCAACAAAAGGCAAAAGCAGACAACCCAGAAAAACTGGCCAACAACTTGAAAAGAAAAATCAGAAGCAAATGGCAAAAAAATAAGCAAACAACTCAAATTCAAGATAGTATATCAAGTAGGGTGTCTGCCTTGCAGGAGGCCAACACAGGTTTGATCCCCAGCATCCCATATGGTCCTCCATGAGGTCTGACCTTATGCGGAGCCCTACCAGGAGTGATCTCTGAGCACCAAGTCAGGAATAAGTCCTTGAGCACTGCTGGGTGTGCCCCTCTCAAAAAAAAAAAGAAAATTAAAGAAAAAAAATCAAAAGCGCAAGTAATAACCCCATCCCAACTCAATGAAGAACATACCCCGTTAAAAAAAAAAAAAAATCACTGAAAGACTAGTTCCTAGTTCCAAGGCTAAGAAATGGCAATCACGTTGAGTGAGGCTAACTCATTTGCTGCTGTTGGCATTATCAACTACCACAAGGTACTCAAACTCTGTCATTATCTATTGAAGCTGAAGACAAACATAAGCAAGACTGAGCAATTTTACTTCTAGATGAGACCTAAGATCAGTTTACATTAGAAAGGATAAACTGTAGTCTATGTGCACAACGACAAGCCTATTTAATATAAGTCACACTATCCTCGTGGTAAATCTCTGCTCTGTACTTATGTTCTGTTGACCTTGTTCTGCTCGATTTTATTTATAAAGAGTATAAAAGGCACAAGAACTCTTCAGATTCCTAAAGTAGAGAGTACTAGGTGTGTCCTCCGAGATACCTCACAAGGAACTGGCAGGCTGAAGTGAAGAGGCCAGGAACCAACGAAATGCGGGGACGATAAGATGGGCAAGACAGACATTTACACAGCCGTTTCTCTCCAAGAAAAGAGGAAGCGAATAATTTGTCTTGGACAATTTTTAAGAGGAACTCGCTTAATATTGCAGGAGTCATAGTGAGCTAGTACTACTACATAAACACAGACATACAATCATCAGAGGTTTCATTTTCTTTCATACGGGTTTGGAGGTCACACCCAGCAGCACTACCCTGCACTACAGTAGCTCCCTGGCTCCTGATACCGAAGACAAGGAACACAACACTTTCCTCCCTCCCAGGCTCAGTTTTAAAGAGGCCGTGAATAAGAATTTGAAGAGGCAGTCCTCTGGGCCCACAGCAGATCACTGGTCTTTGTGTCTTCCCTTTCCTTTGCAAACCACAATGCCCCAAAGTAGAGAGAGTATGGGGGAATATTGTCTGCCATGGAGATAGAGGGAGGGTGGGAAAGGGGGGGATATACCGGGGATATTGGTGGTGGGGAATGTGCACTGGTGGAGGGATGGGTGTTTGATCATTACGTGATTGTAACCTAAGCATGAAAGCTTGTAACTATCTCATGGTGATTCATTAAAAATAAATAAATAAACAAACACGTGTTCACTGCCAGATGGCTCTAGCCACTGATTATCCTTCTAGAGCATCACAGAAGTCTGACAGCCTTCCTCCATGTCTCTGGTCCCCATCCTCTTCTGTTCAGGCTGGCAGTGTCCTGTGCTGTATCCCTGGGTACACACCTAGTCTCTTGAATGAAAGGTTGGTTGAGAAGCCACACCTCAAATCTTGTCTCCAGGCACACTATTTTCCAAGAATGTTCTAAGTCAAGCTGTTTTCTTTCTGTCAGCTCCTTGCCTTCCTCTTACATTTTACTATTGAATAATGTTTGGAGAACTCATGCCTCAATTTTGACAGTCTGGAAACTTTTCCAGCTGAACATCAAAGTTCACCTCCCACAAATTTTATTTTCCTCCCTAGAGTAGAACATAATTCAGCCAAATGCTCTATCACTTTTATAGCACAAATAGCCTTCCCTCCACTGTTCAGTAATGAGTTCCTCATTTTTGACCAAAATCTCACCATAAGTACCTCTGTAATTCTACCAACATCCTGCTCAGAATGGCACAGATATCAGCCACATACTATTCAAGACAACTGAAGATATCCTGCTCATCTCTTCTTTGAGCCTTCACCAGAATTACCTCTTAACAATAGTTCTACCAATCCTATTCTTCACGGCAATCTAGGTTTTTTCTATCAAGCACCTTCCAGTTTCTAATCAGTACCCAATTTCAAAGTCATTCCACATTTGTAACTATGTCACAGCATCCCATGACCCAGTACTAAAACATGTATTTGATTTCTAGGAAAACAAAATTGTATGAACTGGTTGATTAAAGCAACCAAAATTTCTTCCCTTGCTGTCTGCAGGTTCTAAAGAGGAGCTCTCCTTGTCATGCAAAGTCTCAAAGTTCACCACAATCCTTGGTCTTTGGCTTGCAGACATAATTTCAACAGTTTGTTGTCACTTGGCACTGTTTCCCCTGTATTCTTCAAACACAGTTGTCCTGCTTTTTATATCTGAGTCCAAACTTCCCATCTCGTACAAGGAGACCCATCATCATTTGCCAAAATTTCAACCTAGCTTGCTTATACCTATAGATAAACTACTTCCGAACAGACCCATACGCACCTCAGACTTGAGCTTGACTTTTGGGGGGTAACCAGAACATTCCCCCCAAAAAAATCAAATCTAAACAAAATAACACTAGGGGAAAAGACAACATGGTATGTGATGGTTGAATTTTTGTGATCTGAACATAGGCTATTCTGACCCTGCTCTTCAGAATCTTGATGGTATCCATCAAGATTTAACTATTTATCTAGACTGTTTCACAGTATTTCATCACTACTCATTTTCTAAAGAAAAGCATCTTTCGCTAAAAAAACTCATAATGGAATAATAATGTAATCTCTAACCTTTAGTGTTTCGGTAGCCTTTCGAAGTTCTTTAATTACTGACGATAAAGCTTCTGGATTTATTCCTTGTTCACAAAGCCGCACACAAATGGACAGAGTTTCCATATCTAACCCAGTATTTAAAATTCTTGAAATCTCAAGCAGAACTGAGGGACAAAAAAAAAAGAGAGAAAAGTTAACACAAAACAAATCACATTTGAAATATGTACAGGAAACTTTTGTTCTTAATTCTTGTAATACTGTAAAATACCAAAGTACTTGGGTCAGAGAGAGAGAATAGAGGGTAGGGAGATTGCCTTGCACACGACCGACCCAGTTTACACCCCGGCATCCCATACAGCAGCATCCCTTCCCCTAAGCATTACCAGGAATAAATTCTGAGCAGAGCAAAAAAAGTAACTCCTTAGTATTGGTAGGTGTGGCTCCAATCAAACAAAATACCAAAGAACTAGCATAGCATTCTTAGATTTTATAACTGTCACATTAATGTAAAAGATAAATTTATAACTTTCTTCCACATCTTGCTTTACAGTCTACCATTCGTTTCATTAATGTGTCTAAATGTATGAACCATAATCAGGATTATTTTAAATATTCCCCCTCTATAAAAGTTTACATTTTAGTTATTTCTAAATTGCACAGTAAAATATTAATTTAATAAAAACTAGTTTAATAAATATCTTTTTATTTTATAAATATGTATTACTTAACTACATTTTAAATTCTTGGTGAGTTGAAATTTCCCTATTAAAATACCTTGATAATCATCTGTACATACTAATGTTATTTCATCCGAATAAACTCATAGAAATACTTAATCAAAATGTGCATTATTTAAAGTTTTCAGAGTTAAGGAACTTATACAATTTGACAAGCCTATTTAATCTAATCTGTTTAATCTATAACGTGAAAGCTTTTATCTTTAAACTTCATTTTATATAGTTCACAAAAAAAATCTTTGACATGCAAAATTCTAGCATAGAGAACTGTAAGAAATAAGTACCTAAGCTTCATCAAATGTTGTTTTATTGTTGTTATTTCCTAGAAGGTTTTTTCCCTATTATTTTCTCTGCATTATGCTCAGAAAGCTATTTCCTATGCGAAGACATCATATCATATGGTTCTCATAACCAGTTATAGAAATCAAATTATTTCACAATGCCTTTTCAGCAATTCTGATTGCTGGGGGGAAATTCTAAACAATAATGGTGCATCTTTTGTTGAAGCGATAGCGATAGCTGGAGCGATAGCACAGTGGTAGGGCGTTTGCCTTGCATGCAGCCAACATGGCCGACCCGAGTTCAATTCCTCCGCCCCTCTCGGTGAGCCGGCAAGCTACAGAGAGTATTCGATATGCCAGACACAGTAACAACAAAGTCTCCAATGGAGACGTTACTGGGCCCGCTCAAGCAAATCGATGATCAATGGGAGGGTCTTTACTTACTTACTTAAAAGTATAATAGAATTATATTTCATGTGTTTGGAAAGTTAAGTAGAGGCATGGGAATCATTTTTTTTTAAATTGAACTCATACAGGAATAAATAAATGTTTCCTAGGGAGAGATAGGAAGAACCCATTTCTTGAGTACCATGATCAAAGATTTTCAGAAGAGCTGAACTTAATTTATAGATGATTTGATTTTGGTTAGCTTATCCATTCCTCCAGCATACTATGTGCCTTTCATAAAATTCAAATCAGAATCTATAAAGAATCTATATTGTCTTGAGGTCACCAAAACGTTTAAGCTCATTGAGAGAAATAAGCAAAGGACTTAGGATGGTAAAGATTGCAAATGACTCCATCTACTTTGATTAAACATGTATTATATAGTCATTGAGATTATGGTTCAGACACAAGTTGGTGCAACATCTTATTATCTCATTCTTACTTTAGACAACCTGGCAGGCTACCGAATGTAACCTGCCCACACGGCAGAGTCTGGCAAACTCCCCGTGGTGTATTCGATATGCCAAAACCCAGTAACAATGATGGGTCTCATTCTCCTGACCCTGAAAGAGCCTCGAATGTGGCACTTTCTAAAATCTCAGGGCTAGGATGAAGGAGACATTACTGGTGCCTGCTCGAGGAAATCGATGAACAACAGGATGACAGTGATACAGTGATCTTAAACTATGATTAAGCTTTGTTTTATATTTTCAAGTATAAGTAAACAACAAAGTGACTAAGAGTGTATTCTCTAGGGTCTGGGAAATGGTTTGCTTTTGTATGCAGAATGCCTGGGTTCAAACCTTGCCATTGAATGGTTACTGAGTAATGCTAAATTGGCCACCAAATTAGAAATTAAAACACACACACACACACACACACACACACACACACGGGTTCAAATTCTAAAGCCATTACCTAGTAAGCAAGGTAATCTCTCTATACTTCGTTTTTGAAAAATGGAGACAGCAAGAGTACTTATTTTATAGACTCACTGTGAGAACTGAAGACATACTTAGAATCTTGCCTCACATACGGCAGTGCTCAATGAGTTATTCTTTACAACTACCTTTTCCCTTTTCACTTTTTTGTGTAAGTAACGTGTTTTCCTCAACTCCTACTCTCAGTGACTTTGAGTGAAAAGGTCATCTTTTGGGATGTCCTGGATTGGTAACATGTCCTAGGATGGGCAGTCTTGCACTGGACTCAATGCTCTGGTTCAGCTCCATGTGGAAGTTTCCTGGCTCAAGACACAGAAATGGTGGGTCTCAGTAGGGGGCAGTGGCAGATGGCAGAGTTCTGGCCCCAGCTTCACTCAGGCAGGACAGCAAGCTTCTTCAGGCTCCATCCTGGTTTCCCACTGTGGTTCCCATCTGCTCTCTCTTTCTCATCAACGGAGACTTCCCTTTTCTTATTTTTAAACATGACTTTGCTAATGATTGTAATATAATATTATTTCCTGTCATTTTAAGTACTTGAAGCAGAAAGTTTCAGCAAGTGCTCACTCTATCAATTTGGGGTGTGAATCACAGACTCATTTTTTGGTTCTGATTATTTTCACAAATGGATTATACCTTCTGTACATCCCAAGTTGTTAGCGATGATAATCTAGGACATTACTCATTTTTCTTTGGTACCAAGTCACCTTAAAGAATTCTAATAAAGTTTTCCCCTTTTCTTATCCTGTTCTATTTGCTAAAACTTTCATATCTCATCTATAACAATCAAAGTTTTTTCCCTTTTCTTATTCCTTCCTATTTGCTGAAACTTTTCATATCAATGTTTTAAAAAAGCAATACAATCTGATAATCAAAATTTTTACTTAGAAAGTAACTAACAACAATTTACACAGCTCTCCTTCAGCATAATATTTACTGTTTTCTTTCACAAAGATTTAAAATCCAGAAGAAGTATTGAGTCTTATCAACATTTTTTTCATCAACTACTGAAATGACTGGGTTGAGTTTTCTCGCTCGAAGTTCGTAAGATGGTGTGCTATACTGACATTCCCAATACCTGGTGGGGGGAGGGGAAACAACACCGGGCTTGGGAAAGTCATCTTTTTACAGAAAGCAATTAGGAAGATCAGCACTCTATCTGAAGTTAGCCATTACCTCCTGTGTCACAGTCGTTCAGCTCACTGTAAATACAATCCGGAGCAAAGCAAATGGGACGGGCACCAGGGCCTCACAGCTCTAGCACATAGGTGTATGCTCAGAGGGGACCTGACACAACTTCTGAGACCTGGATTGAAAAAGGCAACATCACGTCTACTGGCACTCTGAAGACACTCTCCCTTGGAACCCAGCCACTAGCACTGGACGTGAGAAAATGCACACGTTCAGCCGGAAGCCCCTGCCAAGGCCCAGCTAAGAGCCAGCACAACTAGGAGACATGTGAGTGAGAAAGCACGGAGATGACTCCAGACTGAGCACTGCCAAACCATGGGGCAGGACAGGCACTCGGTGACAGTCACGTGACAAGCCCAAGCCAGATGACTGAAAGCCAATTTTGTTTTATGCCCCTAGGTTTGGGCAGTTTGTTAGGCAACAGCAGTCAATCAGAACAGATTTCCCGACCCTAACTCAACCTCCAGTATTATCACCATCATTGCCACGAACTGTTTCTAATTCCCTTATTTTTCCCAGTTTTCTCTTTGAGGTAAACACCCTGATGAATGCTATGCTTACTCTGAACTTCATACTGTTCTTCTCTTCCCTTCGTATGACTCAAATGCTAGCTTTCAGAATCATCTTTTTAGAAAAGTTCTGTCACTGTCCTCCTCTTTCTCATCGATTTGCTAGAGCGGGCTCAATAACGTCTCCATTTTGAGACTTGGTGTTACTGTGTTTGGCATAATTGAATACATCACGGGCAGCTTGCCAGGCTTTGCGGTGCAGGCGAGATACTCTCGGCAGCTTGCCGGGCTCTCCAAGAGGGGTGGAGGAATGAACCTGGCTGGGCAGGGCTGGCTGCGCGCAAGGCAAATGCCCTACCGCTGTGCTATCGCTCAAGTTTGTTAAAAATTGATATTTGATCTTTATTTTCTAATTACACAAACTGTAGCACATTCTATGAAACTAACACACACACACACACACACACACACACACACACACAAACACATATATTTTGTGCCAGTTACTGCTGGAAATAAGACAGACACAGTCCTGTTTCTCATTAAAGTTATAGTCTAGGAAAAGAGAAATGGTAAAATAACTGACTCCACTTATCTAAGTTAAATTAAAAAAAAAAAGCATTGTCTTTGAACAGTACTACAAGGACTAGAAGGACAGAGTATGTAGAAAAAGATGCCCAAAAAGTGACATCAAGCAAGCTTCAACTTTAAGAGTAAATAGAATCAGGGTCAGAGTGGTAAGAGTTTGATCCCAGCACCCGATATGGTTCCCGCAGCACTGCCAGGTGTGCCCCAAAACAAAACAAAACAAGAGTGAACCAAATCAACCTACAGTGGAGTTTTGTAAAGAGGGGGTTGAGGTGGCGGGAAAGGGGAGAAGCCAGTGGGGACATGGGGATCATTCAGCAATAAAAGCCCTTTTTTTGGTGAGGGAGGGGTTGGGACACGTGAGACAGCGTTCAGGAATTACTCCCGGCTCTTGCTCAGGGATCATTTCTGGCAGGCGCGAGAGACTATATGCAGTGCTGGCAACTGAACCCCGGTCAGTCACGTGCCAAGGCAAGCACCACACTAGCTCTACTATCTCTCCCACCCCAGCATATCTGGTTTTTAATGGTGTGTACTATGTGTGTGTGTGGGGGGGGGGGGGGGGAAGGGGGGGGGGCGTTGAGCCACATCCCAGAACCTATTCCTGGTTCTATGCTCACAAGTGAATGGTGGTGACTGGGGACCATATGCAGAGCCAGGGATAGAAATGGGATCAGAGTACCGTCCTTTGGGATCCCCAGAGCCATAACAACAGTGTAACTAGGTGTCAATGCACTGCAGCTACCTGTAACACCCCCATGCCCTGACATTTCAGCAGTAATGACAAAGGAAAGGAGGGGAAAGAAAAAAAACAAACCCAGCAGCCAATAGGGAAAAAAAGCATGAACAAAAGAAACCTATGTTGGGAAGAATTTGGCAAATTCCCCAGTCTGAGACTCTCCAAAAGCAACACATGTGACGGGAACACAGATGTAAAATAACAGTGCAGACAGGTAGATGAAGGCCCGAGTCAAGACTACAGAACAACATGGCTTATGAGAAGACATAAAACGGGAGTGCAGCCAGACCAGATTTCATTTCAGCAGACCATAAATCAGGATGGATCTAGGAAAGAAGATGAATCCAGCTACATTACTGCAATTTTGGTGAAAAGACCGGTAGGTGGCATGGACAGGAGAGATCGAGACAAGTGGTCAGCTGGAAATGATCATGCTGGACAAGAACTGAGTGTTAAAAGTAGGTAAAGAGATGTAAGGATAACTTCTCAGAATTTGTATTGCAAACCACAATGCCCAAAGGGTGGGGTGGAGGGAAGGAGCAAAGGAGAGGGAGAGGGGAAGGGGGGGAGAGAAAGAGAGAGGAGGAAGGGAGAGCAGAGAAAGAGGAGAAGAGAGGAAGGGAAGGAGGGAGGGAGGGAGGGGAGAGGGTGAGGGGGAGAGAGAGAGAGAGAGAGAGAGAGAGAGAGAGAGAGAGAGAGAGAGAGAGAAGAAAAGTGCCTAAGTGCCTGCTATAGAGGGAGGCAGGGACTGGGGGGTGGTAGGCGATGGAAGGGAACCTGGGGACACTGTGCTGGGAAATGTACACTGGTGGTGGGGTGGGTGTTGGAACACTGTATGACTGAAATCTAATGAACAGCTTTGAAGGGGCTGTCTCAGAGTGATTCAATAAAAAATAATAATAATAAAAAAAGAGCAGCCACATCCCTCCTACAGAGTGGCGCTGGGAGTGGTTCCTCTGAAGGAAAGTATGAAGGGCTGGAGAGAGACTTGAAGGACTGAGTATCTGCTCTGCATATAGGAATCCATGCTTGGTTCCCCGGTACTGCCATAACCAACTCCGGAGCACAGAGCTGTGGAGAAGCCCTAGAGTACCAGCAAATTATGATCCCCAAACTAAAATTAAATAGACAGTACAGGAGGCAAGACACTTGCCCTGCAGCTCACCCATTTGATATCTGTTTGATCCCAGCACAGATATGGCTATCCGGTCCTGTGTCTGTCCCCCTCTCCCACTTCCCCCACTGAGCACTGTCAGGGGTCACTCCGGGCAGAGTCAGGAATAGCCCCTAGCACTGACGGGTGCCACTCCCACAAACAAACAAACAAACAAACAAAGAAGAGGAACCTAGAAAGAAAATGTCAAAGAGTTATAAGTAGAGGACCTGATGCAAGACCTTATACTAAATCATTGCTGGGCTGGGCTATTCAGGTTTCTTTCACAACAAATCATAATAGTAAAATTAAAAAGAACACTCAGCGTCTAAAATAAATTATATTAAATAATTTCATTTCACAATTAAAACACAACTGTTGGGACTGGAGTGATAGCAAAGTGGTGTTTGCCTTGCATGTCGCTGACCTAGGTTCAAACCCCAGCATCCCATATGGTTCTCCAAGCACTGCCAAGACTAATTCCTGAGTGCAGAGTCAGGTATTGCTGGGTATAACCCCCAAAAGCAAAAATAAATAAATAAAACACAACTGTTTACCACTGAGCAGCACAATCATTGCAAAGCAGTGACATCCACGAAAAGATTAAATCACTGTTAGCTGACTATCATTTATAGGTGAGATAGTACAGTGGGTATTTATTTGCCTTGCACAAAGTTGACCTGGGTTCCATCCTTGGCACTCCACTGAGCCTCGCCAGGAGTGATCCCTGAGCACACACACACAGGAATAAGCCCAGAGCATCGCTGGATATGCCCTCCACCCCCCAAAAAGATAGGGATATGGTTAAAAAATATAACCAATAAGTACACAGGATCTTAAGAAAGGTGGTCATTTTGAACACTTCAACGTAGCTCTAACAGCAATACTTAAATAGAGTGAATAAACACAATTTCAAATACTAATGGTGCCTGAGATCAGTCCAGCCCCTTGGGCATGCAACAGATTTTATTCTATGAACCAGGATGGATGGCAGTAGAATGTGAAATGTATGCTTATAGGTCTTTTTTTTTTTTAAAAAAAAATTGAGTATAGGGCCAATTATTTAGTCTGTCATGTTTACTTCTGTACCTATGCAGTAATTTTAAGTGACTGTCTTGACCCTCATGACAAGAGAATCGTTCTCTTGTGTTGAATTTTAATGTCAAAGTCAAAGATGACAATATTTGACGGCCACGTTTGCCAAGTATTAACACACTGTCAACAGAAGCCTGCTCTTTTAACATACTAGCGGGCAAACGGCATGTATGAACTCACACACCCTTTGCTCCAATCTCAGTTCTACTGTTCATGTTTCTTTGCTGGGGTGAGAGAAGTGGGGTGCAGGTTCTGGGCGGCCTGGGATGAACCCAGAGTTTCATGTGCTCGACCACTGGGGTCACACCTCTGCCCCCCTTCCCGGTTCTGTTTTTAAAAATAACCTCTGGAGTTTCTTCACGGGTTCTGACTCTTTATACAAAGTTTTCTCGGTAGGTATTTTGATGATGCAAATAAGCACAAACTTGACGGCTCTCATATGCACACCAGCAGTTCCATTTCTGTGGGGCTGAATCCGTACAAAACTAAGCGCAGCCCACAGAAAAAACAGAAGGGACTGGAGGTGAGAGGCCCCGCACTCTCCATCCTGCTCAAAACACACACTGGCTTCCAAGTGACTGGGGAGGACGGCAAAAGGAACCGAACACAAGGTCAGGGACCAGGTTCGTTCTCCCAAAAAGAGAACCGAGCAGTCAGAGGGAGCGAAAGCCAGGAAGGTCGCTGAAACACAACAATTCTCAAGGGGGAGAGGACGCTCAACGGTCCAAAGCACATTCTACTCCGGAGTCCTGGATTTGGCCTTGGCACTGCAGGGTCACCCAAACACTGCCAGTTACAACCCCAGACCCACAGGGCCGGTGACCAGCCCCCGGCGCCTTACCACTACCGGGCCCTGTCGAACCCTCCCCCGCAACAGAAGCTAGAAACGACAAGTTTGGGGGCCAGGGTGACAGTCCAGGGATTAAGGCCCTTTGCTTTGCATGCGGTGGACCCAGGTTGAATCCCTGGCACCAGGGAGGGTACCTGAACTCCGCCCGGGAGTGACCCCGGCGTGCAACGATGGAAATAAGCCCTGCCCAATAAACTCAGCAGAAGTGCTCAAGGCAAAGGAAAGCGTTAGAAACAGGTCTTCAGACTTCCCAGATGGCCCCCTCTGGGGGAGGGGGCTGCAGTGAGACAGGGAGGAACTGGTGCAGGACGGTGCAGGGCGGGTGGAGGGCGCAATGCGTGCACGGAGCGGGAATGCAAACCGCGCGCTTTTCAACTCCAAAATAAAATAAAATAAAATAAAATAAATAAACACTCCGGAGCAGGTGGGCGGAGGCAAGAAGACAAAGGAGGGGCCGCGCTGCCCATCAGCAGCTCCCTTTCTGGGGATGCTCCTCGGCCGTTCCCGCGGAGTCAAAGTAGCCACAACCACCGCCCCACGAGGCAGAACCGGAACCCAAAGATTGGGATCGGGTCCACCCGGAACAGAAAGGGGCCACGGCACTGGCACCCGGCCAAGTCGTCCTGCTACGCGCCGCCCCCGCCCCCCGCCCCCCACTCCCGGGTTAGAGCGACAGCCGCCGCGGATGCCCAGGGGCTCGAGGGCACGTGAGGACACGCCCCTGACGTCCCCAGTGGCCCCCAACCCCTGGCGCGGCAACTGGCGCCCCCCGGACCCGGGCGGGCGCGCGCGCGGGGAGCTGGAGCGCTGCAGGGGGTGGAGGGGTCGGGCGCGCCCCCCGCAGGGTGGCGGGTGGCCTCGGGGTCGCGGGCCGGAGCGCGAGGCCCACGCGCGCGGACGGGCCGACTGACGTGTGCGGGGGGAGGGGGGGCACCCGAACGCCGCGTGCGCGCCCCCAACCGCCCAAGGACGCGGGAGCTAACGAGCGCCACCCCCCACCCAGCCCAGCCCAGCCCAGCCCAGCCACCCCACCCACCCCCCCACGATGCGGCCGTCCGCCCTGCGGCCCTGGCGGCTGCCCTGGGACGAGCTGCGACGCCCCCGCGTCGGCCGCCATGGGGACCTCCAGTCCGGCCGGGCGGCGTCGGCGCTGGGTCGCCGCGACGGCGAGGTAACGGCGGGCGGGGAGGCGCGGGGGAGGGAGGGCGGGGGAGGGACACTCACCGTCCATGGTCTCCCGCACCGCGTTGAGGTTGGCCGCCGCCGCCGCCGCCGCCGCCGCTCCTCCTCCGGCGCCCGGCCCGCTGCTGCTCGCCATGGCGGAGGCGGGGCAGGGCTTGACCCGGAACTGGATCGAGTCTCCCGCCCGCCCGCGGGCCCCGCCCCTAACTCCCCGACTCCGCCCCCTCCACCTCCACCACCGGGGACTCGCCCCCTTCGCCCCGCCCCCTCAGGCCCCGCCCCTCGCGTGCGCCGGCGTCGATTTGAATCTGGAGCCGCGTCCCGCCCCTCCCCTCCCCCTCCCCCCACCTAACCAGCGCGGAATGCGGGGGGAGGAGTCGCCATTCGAATCGCCCCGGCGGGCGCGCTGCCATTGGCTGGTTCGCGGGCGGCGCGGCGACGCGATTGGCCAGCCGTGGCCCCGGGCCCGTGAGCTGGTTGGCCCAGCGGGCGGGCGCGGAAGCGGGGAGTTAAAGAGTCTCCGCCGGCCCGTGCTGGGGGGGACCTGACGCGGGGTGGGCGGCCCTGGCCCCGGGAGCGCTCGCTCTGCGGACTGGCGTTTAATGTTTTGGGGAGTGGGGTGGGGAGAGGCGGCCTCTCTTTGATGTTAGACAACACGAGGTATGTTGTTTTTTATTACTTTTTGGGGGGGGTGCTGGAGCTGGAGGAGTCACTCGATGCTCGGTTCTGGGTGCTCCCGCTCGCTGGCTCTGGGGTGGCAGGTGGGAGGTGGGTGGAAGAGTCGGGGGAGGGGGTTCCAGAAAGAGGGAGGTCTACCGGGGGTGGGGGGTGTTGAGGGGGACCCCGGCGCGTAGCCCCCAGGAAACGGGCTGCGCTTGGGCTTTCCCAGAGGTGGGCCCTTCCCTCTTTGCTCCGGGGCTGAGCGCGGTTCTCGGCCGGGCCTCGGGGCGCTCGGGGAGGGGAGCGCGTCCGAGGGGTGCGGCCCCGGGCGGTGGGCGTCCCCCCACAGCCCCCTCCGGGTGGGGATCGGCGTGCCCCGGAGGCCCCGTGCCCGCGCCCGCTCGTGCGCCCCCCCACTCGTCGCCCCTCCGCGGCGGCGGCCCGGGGGGACCTTCTCGGCCGTCCAGAGCTGCTGCGGGGAATCTCGCGGGTCCGAGTCCCGCTCGGAGGTTTGAGAAGCGCTCGGGTGGCCCCTTGGGCCGGACTGGACGGAGCTCGCGGCTCCTCGGTGGGGTCGACCCTCTGTGATTTCTCTGGGCGCGTCATTTCTGCAAAGTGGCATCGTTGACGCCTCCTCCGGCTCTCCGGGTCATTTCCAGGGTCCCTTGAGCAACGAGGATGTGGCTCTTCTCTGGCCCGGGCGGGTGGTGGGGGGAAATGATGAGGCTCCCCAAGAGTTTGATTTTGGGTCCATTCGTTTTTGAGAACGGGGTTGAATGCATTTTGATGGTCACACGTGGATGCCGGTGGAGTTTGGTGTCTTTATTTTGTGCATGCTACTGTTTCTTTTTGTTGCTGTTGTTAGTTTTCTCTCAGGGCTATGGGAGATGCCAAGGAATCCAGAATGCAAATAACACCGGCGACTCCAGGGAGGATTCCTGTTTTAAATCCCTTTGAAAGTCCTGGCGATTATTGCAATCTCCATGAACAGACTCTCTCCAGCCCTTCTGTGTTTAAGTCCACAAAGTTACCAGTGAGTCATTCTTGCAAGTGATTTTAGGCGTGAATGTTTTGCTTGAAGAGGTGAAAGGGGAGGTTTATCATGGGGAGTATGTATCTGGAATGTGGTCTTTTAATTTTGATGTTTAATGCGGTTTAATGGCTACAATAGCTGTAAGTGGGTGAGCCAACAATAAGTTCGCTGGAAGATTTTTTTTTTAAGATTTTTTAGTTTTTCTTAACTCAATAGGTAACGTTTTAGCTTCCTCTGCCTGGAGAAGTAGCTAGAAAATCTGGTCGGTGATGTATGTGTTAATACCATATTAGAAAGGTCGTGTCTCTATTCACATATAGGAAATATTACTTGAAGAGTGCTATATTTCAGATACAGAGCATGACTTAGAGATTTTGCAGTGAACAAATCAGATGTGACTACTCGCAAGGAGGGCATACTTTCAACTTTCAGCCAGGTCTAGAGAAGAAAATACTTTGACTTTGCATATGTTGAGACTCACCCTGTTTTATAGCACCGAATAGCCGCAGGCTGGATGCATACAAGAATATGACAGTGTTCCTATAAAGCTATATTTCTTGACACTACAATTTAAGTTTTATTTCATTTTTGTGTGAGAAAACACTTCTGCTTTGAAGATTTTGATTTTTTTGCCTGCAGATTGTATAAAAAGCATCCAACTTCCGTTCTTATGAGCCGTACGTGATTAAACTAACAACTAGAAAAGAAGTGCTACCATTAGTAGTTGAGCCTAAGAACCAATAATTGATGGGCTCACCCCTCCCTATGGAAGGGAAGGGCTCTTTAGGGTAGTATCGAAGTTTTGATCTCACATTTGCTCTTTTTACCAATTGTTGATTACCTTGGGGGAGGTTTTTTTTTTTTTTTACACATATGCATACTTTATCCATAAGATGTAGATAGAATTACTAGAAAATGAACCAAAGAGATAATATAGTAGGTAGTGCCTTGCATGCAGCTGACCTGAATTTAATCTCCAGCCCTGCAGATGGTCCCCTGAGCAGTGGCAGCGGTCATCCCTGAGCACAGAGCCAGGAGTACCCCCTGAGTATTGCTGGGGATGGACCAGTTATCCTTTTTGACGTTCTATCTTTTAAATTAGTAAGCTACCTAGAGAAAACACAAACTAGGTAACTGTTTACCACACATATTTCTGTGTGTCAGGTTGAACAGTGATCAGGTTTTGCAGTTAATCAATTTAGATTTAGTAATCTGAATGCTTGTTTCATAATTGCATTGTGTTAAATGTTAATGATCTTAGCGAAACGTTAAGTCTTAATAAAAATAAATACTAGGGTGACTGTGACCTAATCCTCAAAGCCTAGAATGTATGGATTCTAGGACTGGATTTTTAGACCTAGTTCACAAAAATATGATGATGATAATAATATTTTTAAAGACAACTATTTTATGAGTTTTTTCTGATACTCTCTAGTTAAAATTGTAATTTTGGTTCATTATTATTGAAAGTAACGAATTTTAATACTGCTAAGAAATTTATTTATGGGTATGTCACATAACTGGTATTATGAACTGCGTATGCCTTTTGTGATTTTTCTGTATTAACAGAATTTTGAAAATCTGGTCAAGTCAATTGATTTAGTATGATTTCATTACCATTTCCCACTTAATAGTAAATGCAAAATTTTAAATTAATTTAAAATCTTTATAAGCATTCACATTATTTTTAATCCATTGGTTAGCGTCTGATAAAAAATTTTAGTTTGCTTTTACTCAAAAGATTCCTTTCTTTTGTTAAGACTCCGGAGAAATTTAGATGGTCTATTGATCAACTAGCCGTAATAAATCCTGTAGAAATAGACCCAGAAGACATTCATCGTCAGGCTTTATATTTAAGTCGTTCTCGGTAAGTTTTCTTTCTTGTGCCTAAGTGTTATAATATGCTTTGAGTTAACAGGTGGGAAATACCAAAAGCTGAATATGTTTAAATGTAAAGTTATTAGGGAAGAAAAATTTTTATGTATATTTTTCCTGTCTAATTGAGCAGTGGGACTGGAGCTATAGCACAATGGGTAGGCCGTTTGCCTTGTATGCAGCCAACCCTGGTTCGATTCCTCCATCCCTCCCGAAGAGCCTGGCTAGCTACTGAGAGTATCCCACCCACACGGCAGAGCCTGGCAAGCTCCCGGTGATGTATTCGATATGCCAAAAACAGTGACAACAAGTTTCACGATGGAGACGTTACTGGTGCCCACTCGAGCAAATCTATGAGCAATGGGAGGACAGGGCTACAGTGCAGTGCTAATTAAGCAGTGAGTTGAAAGCACTCTATCCAGTACAATTCCCTTATCAACAGTTCCAAAACTGAACTGAAGTTCTTTCTCTTTTATTTTTAATAAGAAATTAATAATTTTTTTAAGTTTTTCTGGGCCATACCTGACTCTGCTCAGGGATCACTCTTGGTGTTGTCTGGTAGATCATGGGTGGTTCCGGGGATGGAACCCAGGTTCCATCTGTGTGCAAGGCAAGTGCCTTGCCTGCTGTAGTGTCTTTCCAATCCTGAAGTCCTCCTTCTAGAGACAGTGTACTTTCTCCTGGTGCTACTTAAGGAATTAATCTGCGTCCCTAAACTTGATTGATGGAAGCACATTTTGAGATTGGTATCTTTCTTGCATGATTGTGGTTTCTTCTGCATTTTTTTTTTTTATCTAGAGGGCTCCTTTTGTTTTAGTTCTTTTTGTTTTTTTTTTGTTGGTGTTGGATAAAGCACAGTGCTGTTGCCTCGCTGTTTGCCCTTGGGGAAACCTGAAATCTCCTTACAAAGTTAAGACCAGTTAAGTGAAAGGAAATGTATTAGTAACATTTAGTAATGCAGTAGTAACCTGAGAGCTTTTCCAAAGACATCCTACTTTCACTTAGGACCCTTGGGAAATCTAAATTACTTTGTCTTGAAATCAGCTGTGGAGTAAGCAGCTTTAAGGATGTGCTGTATAGGTTTCTCAGTACTAGTAAACTTCAAATTTGTACTGCTAATCAATGCTTAATATAGTGAGAACTTGTACATCATTGGCAAAGGAAATCTAGTTTTTGATTACAAGTTGTTAGGTAGCAGTGCACTTTAATTGTTTAAGGAACTTTAAAATTTTCAATTTTACTTATTCATTTATTTGTATTTTTAGGTTTTGGGTCATACCCAGCTGTGCTGGATTCAGACTTACTCTTTTCTCAGTGCTCAGCAATCATTCCTGGCTATGTCCAGGGGGACCATATGTATCTGGGCTTGAACCTGGGTTGGCTACATGCAAGCCTTCCCCACTGCCCTATCGTGCCAGTCCCTATGAGACTTTCTTAAAAATTTTTGATTAATGCTGTTATGACCAACTTTAAGTTTTTGGTCCTAAGTGTCAAAAAAACCCCTTTCCTTTAACTTTAGAATTCATTCCCACAAAGACTCCATATTGAGGTAATCCTCCCAATGTTAGTCTTGTTTTTCCTAGCCTTTCCTCTCTGGGTTTGGTTAAAAAAAATTGATGAGAACTCATAATATTGTCTATTCAGGGTACAGAGAAGGAAATGGGATGAATATAGATCATAACAAATTTTTAACATAAATATATCGATATCTTTGGAAGAGAAAGTGAAAAGAATAAGCCAAAAATGAGCCCATATTTTGTCTCACAAATTATATATACTTTATATTTTGTCTGATCTACTGAGTGTATTTAACCACAGATACTATTATCTGTCAGAGATGAGGTATTTATTAACCACCTGACTATATCAGGTTCTTAGAAGCCCCTCTGATGAAGCAGTAGTTTCTTAATACTGAGCAGAGTTTGCTAATGCTTCTACGCTATTAGTATTATTTATTGTTATTATATTGTATGCGCTGTCATTTTGACTGACATGGCCATGACAAGGTGAAGAGAAGGAGGTTCTCAACCTCCAAATGACAATGGCATGTGGTTTTATCATTTCCTGTGGGGTCTATTTACTTATGATGTCCTTACTTAAAAATATCCCCCTCCGACTTTAATTTCTGGGACACGTATGATCATGCATAAGTTATGGTAGTAAAAAAAAATACAAGAAACATGCTGAAGGAAAGGAGCTTTAAGTTGTTATAAAGTCAAAATAATAAGTCTTCCCCATTTATTAATGGAAAGCCACTATTCCTTCCCAGAACCAGCTGAAAAGGTTGTGATACAAACTCACTGTAGAGTCTTTAGCAGGAAGATGCCTTATTCTTGGGACCCAGTATTTTATGTTAGTTCTTAGCATGATAAATTTGGGTTGTTGTAATTAGTGTCGAAGGTGGGAAAAGACATGCATGGACGGCATTTTTTATTTTGATACGGTATTTTACAATCATTTTGCCTACTGGAGCTGTTGCTATGATAGTTTCTTTTCTTCTACTTCAGAGTGAGTTTATCCTAAAATTGTAGTTATGATAAATTTGTTGTAATTGAAGAGAAAGCATCTGAACAGTATTAAAATTGCTGTGCAGTGAATTGCTTGCGGTGATCAAAGAACAAAGTTCATTCAGATTAATTTTGTTAATAACAATTTAAAAGTTATACTCATGTAAAGCTTTTTTTTCTTTTGTTTTCCAACTATTATTTTTTTTAAATTGAATCACAGTGTTATGCACATTTATAAGTCGTTCATGATTGGATTCCAGTCATATAATGTTCCAACACCCATCTCTTCACCGGTGCACTTTTCCACAACCAATGGTCCCACTTTCCCTCCTGCGCCTATACCCCCCCATCCCACCTTCTGTCACTATGACAGGCACTTCTCTCTCTCTCTCTCTCTCTCTCTCTCTCTCTCTCTTTTTCTCTGGTTACACCCAGCAATGCACAGGGATTACTCCTGGCTCTGCACTCAGGAATTACTCCTGGCGGTGCTCGGGGGGACCATATGGGATGCTGGGGATCGAACCCGGGTCGGCCGTGTACAAGGCACATGCCCTACCCACTGTGCTATTGTTCCAGCCTCCTCTCTCTCTCTTTCTCTCTCTTTCCCCCTCTCCCCCTCTCTCCCTCCCTCTCTCTTTCCTCCCCTCCCCTCTCCTCCCCCCCCCCCCCCCTTTCCTCGCCTCTCTTCTCTCTTCTGTCTCTCCTCTTTTGGGCCTTATGGTTTGCAATACAGATAATGGAAGATTTTACCTGTGCCCTTCACCCCACACACACTCTTGTGGCAAGCTTCCAACCATTGACCTGTCTTCCTGGCCCCTGTTTACACTCACTTTGGATATTAGTCTCATAATTTTATATATATGTCTGTGTGTGCGTGTATAAAATCCCACAAATGAATGCAGTCATTCTATACCTGCCCCTCTACTTCTGACTCATTTCACTCAACATGCTACTTTACATGTCGGTCCATTTATAAGCACATTTCATGACTTTAATGTAAAGCTATTTAAAGGAAAACATGGTTCCACTCAAATGGAATGAAGGGGAGGGAGGTCAGCCCAGCAACAGAGTTATTTGCCACATGCCATTTTTTTTGGGAAATGAAATGAACAGTTACGGTTTTTGACAAAGCGAATTATTTTGTTGAAAGGTTATTATTTACGATGTTTAATCTGCTAAAGTAATGGCATGGTTGTTTTCTTCTTTATCTCTTTATAGAATAGATAAAGATGTGGAAGACAAAAGACAAAAAGCCATTGAAGAGGTAACTTGGATTTGTTACTGATGGTTAAGCCAGTTAAGCATCAGTTCTGCATGAATGCCATCTTTTAGGAAGAGTTCCTGCAACTCCTTTGCTGTCCCAATCTCCTGCCTACCTGTCTTCTAACTGTCTATCTTAAGTGTCCGCACTGGGCTCCCATGGCCCAAAGCTTCTCCACGTACTTGAATACTATTGTAATAACTGCGGCGAGAGCTTTACTCCCCTACACTAAATTCTCTTTAGTCCATACTGGCTTAGCCACTGTCTCGTCATTCTCAAGGCCTTGCGCTGTTGGTTCTACTTGTGTCTTCAGAATATTGACACAGGATTCTTTTGGAGTTGAAGAAGTCTAGTTGGGTATTTTCAGATCTTTATAATCTAAATTAGTGTTGGTGGTTGTTGCTGACTTGCTTAAATGCTTTTTGGAAGGATCTTACAAAGATAGGTTTTGTTTTTCTAACAAAAAAAAAGTATTTTTACTTTCTGCTTCTTTGCTAAGCTCCTTTTAGAGGGAAGGTAAGGGCTGGCAGTGTAGGGGTTTCCTCATCACATCTCTGTCCTATCGACATTTCTTCCTTTTCACTTTTCTCTTCTCTAACCCTCTCTGCCTCCCTCCATTCCTCAGCTCCCCTGGATCCCAAAAGTCTTCAACCGTGCTGTATTAAAAGGCGGTGGGAGAGTCTGGCATTCCTGCATCTATGTTTTTCTTCTGTTTTTGGGCCACAGCTGGTGATACTCATGGGTTACTCCTACACTCAGGAATCACTCCTGCTAGTGCTCAGGGGACCACTTGGGCCGCCGGGGTTCCAACCTGTGTTGGCGAGGCAAGCTCTTGGTCTGCTGTATTACCACTCCGGACCCTATATCCATTTCTCTGGTGTATGTGTTGTCACCTCCTATTTTAGATGAAGCCTTTTTAGAACATAATTTTATGTACTTTCCTCTGCTGAACCTCACCCGCTTTGTTCGGAGTAGCTTCGAACCGCTCATTCTAATCCGGTCACTTGATTCTTCCTATTAAATAATCCTTAGCCTCTTTCCCGTTTCCCACAATATTGTGAAATGTGCTCTCTTTAGAATTTGCACCTCGAAAGGAAAATTTAGCAGGCTAAACAGTAAAATGAGATCAGAGTAAAAATTAGGATTACTATGCCAGAAACAAAATCATTTTCTAAATATATATAGGGCTGGAGCGATAGCACAGCGGGTAGGGCGTTCGCCTTACAAGCGGCCAACATGGCCGACCCAAGTTCGATTCCTCCGCCCCTCTCGGAGAGCCCGGCAAGCTACCGAGAGTATTCGATATGCCAGACACAGTAACAACAAAGTCTCCAATGGAGACGTTACTGGGCCCGCTCGAGCAAAATATATATTACATACTTGAAAATAGAATGAAAAAAATCAAACTGCAAAGGAAAAATAGAAAATGAAAATGAGCATTTATTCCCACGTCTTACTTCCTAAAAGTACCTGTTAATTTGAGCATGTGTGGGTGTGTCCCCTTACCCCAAAGGGACTACTATAACATTTGTATGCTTTCAGATGATATGTGTTATGTGTGTGTTATATGTTAGATATAGCATATACAACATATCCCTTAAATATTTTAAGCAAATAGGATTATTGTTCTGTTTCACATTTTGCTTTTTTCTTGATAATTTTTTCTAGGTTTTTTTTTTTTCATAAGAAACACACCCTGACCTTTACGTTGTTTTAGTAATAGCATTCCTAATATTAATTCTTTTCTATATACGTGCCATAACCTAACCAGTCCCTTTAGATACATGTTTGGGTTGTATTGATATTTTTCTGTCACAGATAATGCCACAATGAATACACATAGAACACATTTATGCAAATCTGAAATATACTTGTTAGGTCTGGACTTTGTGAATTTTCAGTTTCCGTAGATTTTGCCATGTTTCTCTTTAGGGTACCACCAGTTTTACTTCTTTATAACCAACTGTTACTGTGGGCTGGGACGATAGCACAGCGGAAAGGCATTTGCCTTGCACGCAGCCAACATGGCCGACCCGGGTTCGATTCCTCCGCCCCTCTCGGAGAGCCCGGCAAGCTACCGAGAGTATCTCGCCCGCACGGCAGAGCCTGGCAAGCTCCCCGTGACGTATTCGATATGCCAGACACAGTAACAACAAAGTCTCCAATGGAGACGTTACTGGGCCCGCTCGAGCAAATCGATGAACAACGGGAGGACCGTGACAGTGACCGTGAACCAACTGTATTTCAGTGTTCACTGTTTTCTTTTTATCTGTGACTCTGGCTATCAAATTTCTTTCATTTATGCTGCTCTTGTTACTTTAATCTCTTCTTACTTTTTGAATTTGAAATTTTCATTTTGACTGCATTATACATTGCTGTATGTTATATTTTTTTTATCCTGGAAATTGTATCATCTCTGTTCCTCCTTTGTTATTCATACAATATTTAGATTCTATATGTATGTATTGTGGGGGTGTAGTAAGGGGGTGCATGGGATTGAATGCATATATGGCATATCCTCCCAATGAGTCACATCTATGGCCTCTTTTTGTCATATCTATTTTCTCATGTTATTTATTGACCATTTAATTACTTTGCTATATGCGTAGAAAAACACAAAGGAAATGTTTCCAGTTGTTCCCCCAAACAGAGTAGGAACAAATGCTGTATCAAGTAGACTCTTCTGTCTGCAGTGAGAGAAGAAAGATGTGTCCACAGATGCTCTCTCTCCATTTGAAGCCCTGGCCGTGAGGCATACCACCTTGTGCTGATCAGTAGTCAACCAACAGCGCCCTGGTTGTGGGAAGAGCATGGGTTTCTCCTGATTATGGCTATCTTTTGTGTCACAAATATTCCAATTTCTCCCATTTCAAGCTACCCAACATTATACCTTCGCCAGTTTCAAGCTCCCCACCATTATATGTAGGTGTTCCTTCCTGTACGTACAAAAGACATAATTTAAAAGAGTAGATGGGTCAGAGCCATAGATAGTGCAGCGAGTGGGGCTTTAGCCTTACCTGCGCAGACCTAGGTTCGAGCCCGGGCATCCCATGTGATCGCCAGAGCCCAACCAGGAGTAATTCCTGGTCACAGAGCCAGGGCTAACCCTTGAGTACCAGTATACCTGGTAAGTCAGGTCCAGAAACCAAAAACAAAAAAGCACCAAAAAACAGCCCAAACCAAACACTAGATAGTGGTAAATGTATTCAAATATTTTGCAGGTGAAGATTCTATGTATTTACATCTTTGTTTTAAGTATAATTCATCTAATTGTGACTATATAGTGTAACTTTAAGTATTGACTTTAACAATGAACACAATATTTCTCGAGAACTGTAATCATCAGATCTTGAAAGCCAGTACATCATTCTTACTAGGTCTCTTGTATACATCGGTCTCTATTTATTTGTTTTAGTTTTTGGGTTACACCTGGTGAATTCAGGGGTTGCTCCTGGCTCTGTACTCGTGAATTATTACTGGAGGTGCTTAGGAGGGACCATATGGGATGCCAGATGGGTCAGACTCAGGTCAGTCACATGCAAGGCAAGCACCTTACCTGTACCTACTGTCTCTCCAACCCCTCCATTTTAGTTCATCAATCCACTCCCCTCTCCACAAAAAAGTGAGGGGGAAGTTTTAAATATTTGCAACATAATGCTCTTAATTTACATGCTTCAATTTCAGTGTTGATTTGAAATATAGAAGATACATGCTTTAAAATTATTCCATTTAAAAACCTTTGGTTATGTAAAGTTATGAGTATTAAAATTTTAAATGTGACTAAGTTCTGCAAGTAGCATGTTTGATAATTATTTTATAACCATACAGTTATCTTTTAATATTTGGGGAATCTGTGGCTAAATGTTGCAAATTAAATTTTCCCAGTTTTTCACGAAAGACGTCATTGTACCTTCTCCTTGGACAGATCATGAAGGAAAACAGCTTACAGAGAAGCATTCCAATAAATGTGAGTGTGCTAAAAAAAATGTTTCAGTTTAGCTTACAAAAATCAGTGTGAAACAACATATTTATGGAGTGTGAGTTTTGGAGTTTTCTTGAGCGGGAACCTGCTATGAATTTCATTTCTGGAGTAAGCCCAGAGCTCCCCCAGCTGTAGCTCCCAAAACAAAACAAGACAGAAGCAAAGTCCTAGGGAAAACAACCAATGAAACACTTGCCGTCGAGTTGAAAAGTATCATGAGGATATTGCTTTTATGGTCCAGGGGCATCAGAAAGACATGCTGGTGTAAGGCCCGGTATAGAGGAAGAGGGACAATAAGGTGAGAAATACCTAGAATGAGAGAGTCTCATTTTGATCTTTTTTATAAGTGGATGAGATCAGTAGTGCTTAGTTGGAGGACAGCTGTGCTGAGACATATATAGTTGTTTTCTTTTTTTTCCCTAGATACATGCAGTTTTTTTTTCTTTTTTATAATTTTATTTATTGAATCACCATGAGAGAACTTACAAAGTTTTCGGGTGTAAGTCTCGGTCATACAATGAAAAACCCGTCCCTTCACCAGTGCCCATTTTCCACCACTAAAACCCTCAGCATACCCCCCATTCCATACCCTCCCCTACCTGTGGGGCAGATGATTTCCACATTACTCTCTCTCTCTACTTTGATTACATTCAATATTTCGACACCAGACCCACCACTATTATTTGGGATTTTATCCCAACACTCAGATCTGCTGAAAAGCAACAATAGACAATTTGTTTTCTACTGCTGGTTATGAATAACATTATGTCTACTACTGCGGCTGCACAATTTTGGAATTCTGAAATTTTAACAAATCTGGAGGGATTTCTGCCAAAAGCTGCTGGGTTCCGAGATTTGTTTCTGAGTCTCTTGGATCATGGCTGTTAAGAGAGGTCGTTGTGGATGGCAACTCGGGGTCTCATTGGGGTGGGGAGGAAAGGGCCGGCTACACCCCCATCCTGTGAGGCCCCACGTGTCTTGTCACTGTGGACCCAAACCTGACTGTCCAATGGCCTCTGGAGGATGGTGGCCACTGAGGTGCTGAGGGGTAGCAGGTGGAGAAACAGCACCCTTTCCCCCCTTGGGTGGCCCGGTGACAGTAACCTACTGCAGAGTCTGGACACATTTATGCCAAAAGCCACTGTGTTCCAAGATTTGTTTCTGAGTCTCTGGGGTCATGGCCATTTAGCAGCTTGATCAGGAGCCAGGGAGAACGTTTGTGGGTGGTGATTCAGAGTCTCGTTGAAGTGGGGAGGAAAGGGCCGTCTCAACCCCCATCCCATGAGACCCCATGTGTCTTGTCACTGTGGGCCCAAACCTGACTATCCAGTGCCTCTGGAAGATGGCGGCCACCAAGCTGCCAAGGGGGAGCAGGCGGAGGGACAATACCCTTTCCTCACTGCGGTGTTCTGGCACCGGTAACCCATTGCGGGGACCAGACACATCTGCCAAAAGCCACTGGATTCAGAGATGTGTCTCTGACTCTCTGGCATCATGGCCATTAAGCAATTTGATCAGGAACCATAGAGACTTTGCCTCCAATTATATAGCTGAACCAGAGGTAGTTTGTGGGTGTGTCTCCCACATACCTAACTCTTGGCCATTTACTTTCTTGGTAAACTTTGCCCCAAGTTTTTGGGGTCTGGCCAAGGCACAGCAGCGATTTTGCAGTATCTGGAAGTCTGAAGGCACCATCAGGCTGCTGATGCACTCGCCTCACAGGTACAGATTGACCTGCTGGTGGCACCATACTCCCTGATAGATGCAGTTTTAAAGGACTTTCTACATCATCTTTGTCTGTCTTTTTTTTTTCTTTTTTAATTTTTTTATGTTAGTTTACAATATTTGATTACATTTAATATTCAAACACCAGTCCCAACACTATCACACCTTCCCACCAGGGTTTCCATCCCAAGCCCCAATCCCTGTCATAAAATACAGCCAAAATAATATATTTCATATTGTCTGTTATGAAGAACTGCTGAACATGCTTACAAAAAAGTGTCCATATAGAAAACATTGTGAAGATTATTCTGTTTTGGCAGGAACAATTAAGACATTCTATAGGATATCACTAACATGCTGTTCAAGTTTGGGTAATGTGAGCTTTGGTATATATATCTGAAAATATGTATATATTCATATATATATATGTATATTTCCCTCGGATTTGTTGCCTATTATCTGAACCCCATCAAATGTGGTGTGGTAATTTTGGAGAATGGGTAGGGAGTGTTTTATGATGTGTCCAGGAATATGTTTATTCATATGTGAGGCTCGGTCCAAGCACGTGAGGAGCTAGCTGCCTTGAGCTTGGCAGCAGTTAAATTGTGGATGTTTCTGGCTGCTCGGGCTGGGTTCCTTGAGGCAGGGAGGGCTCTCACCCGCTCCCCCTCTTGGGCGCCCCCGGTGAAACATCCTGCCTACAAGAAGGAAGCATTTGATGCTAGGAAAAAGTTTCTTACCCATTCTAATAGTACTTAATAGGAGACCTGAGTTCATTCACCCACCTACGACTTCACTTACCTATTTATTTATTGAAGATTCATGTCACTGATCTTTTATTCTTTTTATTATTAAGCTTGACTTGGATTTTCGTTGCATTCATTTTGCAGAGTAGTCCTTTGGCTTTTTTTGGCTGTTGCGGGGAGGGGCATATTTGGACCACACCCTGCTGTGTTTATTGATTAATGCTCAGGGGACCAAGCAGTGCCAAGGATTGATTCTGGGGGTCTTGCTTGTACAGCATGTGCTGCAGCCCTTTAAGCCATCTACAGTCCAATGCATTTGTTATTTTTGTCATTTGTGTGCTTTGGTTAATGGGTTGGGTTTTGTTTGGGGGCCACACCCAACTGTGTGTAGACCTTACTCCTGGCTCTGCTATCAGGGATCATACTTGGCAGGCTCTGGGGACCATATACAGTGCCAGGGATAGAATCATCTGGGTCGGCTGTTTGAAAGAAAGTACCCTACCCCTGTTTTGATGTTGTTTTTGATCACGATCATGATCATCCTGTTGTTTGTTGATTGCCTCAAGCAGGCACCAGTAACGTCTCCTTCTTCCTAGCCCTGAGATTTTAAAAGAACCATATTCAATGCTTTTTCAGGGTTAGGAGAATGAGACCCATCATTGTTACTGGTATTAGGCATATTGAGTACGGCATGGGAAGTTTGCCAGACTCTGCCGTGTGGGCAGGATACTTTCCGTAGCCTGCCGGGTTCTCCAAAGTAAGAACGAGATAATAAGATGGCGCTTCCAGGAGCTGGGTTTTATAGTCTCTGAGTCTTGGCCGTTGATGGGACCACCTGGCGCCTGCCGCAGCTGGTGTGTGTGACGCCCACCTACTGGAAGATGTTTTTGATCATGATTTTTAAATTATGAAGCTTAATATTTAATAATATTCAATATTTAAATGAACCAAAAGCCAAACAGAAGCCTCCACTACCAGCACTATCCAGCCGCCACCATGCTCCCGACCGCTTTCCAACACATCATAAGACACTTAATACCCATCTTCCAAGATTACCGCACCACATTTGATGGGGTTCAAATATGATTTGAACCATGGGAACACCTGCAAGGGCAATTAGAGGCCACCCTAAAAGCCTCTGTCCCGGAGAGCCTGGCAAGCTACCGAGAGTATCCCACCCACATGGAAGAGCCTGGCAAGCTATCCGTGGCATACTCAAAATGCCAGAAACAGTAGATATAATGGGTCTCATTCCCCTGACCCTGAAGGAGCCACCAATACGGCAGCGTTAAGATGGATGAGGAAGAAGAGGCTGATAAAATCTCAAGGCCAAACTAGGCTGCCAAAACGAGAAAGGACTAAAATGACTGTCTGTACTTTCAATGCACATATGCTGGCTTCGGATGCATCCTTCGAGGACCTGATGGTGCAAGTGTGAAAGATCAAGTATGACATCATTGGTCTGAGAAGGCATCAACCACATCACGCCTTTTTTCGACACTGGAGAACTGTCCCTCGTAACATGTGGCAAAAGAGGCATCAATGGTGTCGGTGTTCTTGTTAACACTAACTTGGCCATGAGCATTGATTCATTCGAAAGTCTAACAACCCAAATCAGATGATTACACTTGGAAAGATGTGGCTCACTGCCGGCAGTTTCTATCTTTGTTGTCTATGCACCAATATCTATGATGAAGAAGAAACTGAGAAGTTCTACATGGAGCTGGAGAAGTTCTGTAAAGAAGACCACACCTTCTACAAGATCATTCTTGGTGATTTTAATGCCAAGATAGGACTGAGAAGATCAGCTGAAGAATTCCACATTGGGACCCATGGCCTAAAATGGAACAAACAGGGTGAGAGACTGAGTTAATCATGTTGACCAAACCATCCATGGCAACTCACAGTTCCAGAAGGCCGAATCTAAACATTGGACATGGGACTCTCCTGGTGGACTATTCCACAACAAAATTGACCACATCATAGTCAATTGTCAAATGGGAGCTCAATTTCTAATTTTTTGAGAATCATCCATACTGTTTTCCAAAAGGGCTGAACCAGTCAGCATTCCCACCAGCAGTGAAGGAGGGTCCCTTTCTCGCCACATCGCGCCAGCATCGGTTGCTCTTGTTCTTTTGGATGTGGGCCAGTCTCTGAGGTATGAGATGGTATCTCATTGTGGTTTTGATCTGCATCTCCCTGATGATTAATGATGTAGAGCATTTTCTCATGTTCACCGAAACTCTTTAATGCCACCTTCGAGAACGTCATGCGACAACTAGAATGGGAAGGAATGGGAGTGAAGATAGATGGTCGGCAACTACATCTCTTCCACTTAGCTGATGACATCGTTCTAATAACCCCAAACATCAGCCAGGTGGCACAAATGCTGGCCGACTTCAACCGTGAGTGTGGAAAGGTCGGACTGCAGCTGAATCTCATGAAGACAATGTTTACGAGAAACGGACTCATTCCTGACGTTCCATTCCCTCTCAATGGAACGAACATCTCCGAATTCAACAGTTATGTGTACCTACGTCGAGAAGTCAACATGACGAATGACCTGGCACCTGAGTTGCACAAGTGGGAGTGGCTTGGAACGCCTTCAAGAGCATCAGAGAAATACCTAAGGGAACGAGCAACCTCCGGCTCTGGGCACATGCATATCTCTTCAATTTCACTGTTCTTCCTGCATTAACATACGCCTCAGAGACCTGGGCCCTACGAAAAAAGGATGAGAACACTATTTGGGTCTCCCAAAGAGGAATCAAAAGAGCTATGCTTGGAGTATCACACATCACTCAAGTGAGAGAAAGAATCCAGAGTTCTGACCTCCCTCGATGATGGAGAATCAGGGATGCTGTCTTGTTTGTCAACACATCGAAAATCAGATTGGCTGGATACGTAATGCGATTTGGAGATGGCCGTTGGACTAGAGCCGTTACTGACTGGGTTCCACGGGATATCAAAAGATCACATGGCCGCCCACCTACGAGATGGTCAGACTTCTTCGTGAAGACCCTGAACGAACGGTTTGGGGCTCTTGGTGTTCCTGGAGCGAGCAGAGGCCATTGGGCTACACTAGCATGCAACAGGGACGAATGGAGACGTTACTGGTGTCTGCTCAAGCAAATCGATCAGTAATCGGATGTCAACTGATCAAGTGAAGTGATTTAAATGAAAAAAATTATTTGATACCATACTGTTTTCAGTCCTATCTTTGGGGGTGTGGGGGACTAATACTGAGCATGTTTTATTTATCAAATTTTAGGTTTTGTCAGTATGATTTGGCATTTTTTTAAAAAAAATTATAAAGCTTTTCATAATATTTGATTACGTTTAATATTTGAACATCAATCCCACCACCATTACCCCTTCCCACCACCTTATTTCTGTCCCGAACCCCAAACGCTGCCCCCAAAGCAGAACCCAAATAATTTATTTTGTTTTGCTTGTTATGAATAGTGACAGTCTCCTGCCCCCGCGCCTGCTGTTCCTTGCTGGGGCCCTTGGAGGGGAGTGGGTTGAGCTTTCCTCCCCGCCTCAACCAGGGCTCCGGCAGCGGAAGACCTCCAGGACCAGCCACCACTATGCTGAGACCACTCTCCGCATACATGAAGGTACTGGCAGAGGGACAAAGCCACGCGGGTTCCGGGGCCGAGATCTCCAAGCCTACTCGGATTGGAGTCGAGCATCCTCCACCCAGATCCTCCAAATTCCAGTAGGCAGGGGTCACACCCACCACCTGGCCCCCTGGTGCCGTGTAATCCCATCAGCGGCCAAGACTCTGAGACTATAAAAACCAGCTCCCGGAGGAGAAGAGCGCAGTCTCCTGCCCCCGCGCCTGGCTATTCCTCGCCGGGGCCCTTGGAGGGGAGTGGGTTGAGCTTTCCTCCCCACCCCGACCAGGGCCCCAGCAGCCGAAGACCTCCAGGACCAGCCACCACCATGCTGAGACCACTCTCCGCACACCTGAAGTACCGGCAGAGGGACAAAGCCACGTGGGTTCCGGGGCCAGATCTCCAAGCCTACTCGGATTGGAGTCGAGCATCCTCCACCCAGATCCTCCAAATTCCAGTAGGCGGGGGTCACACCCACCATCTGGCCCCCTGGCGCCATGTAATCCCATCAGCAGCCAAGACTGAGACTATAAAAACCAGCTCCCGGAACCGCGCGGCCAATGCGGCATCTTATTATGACATCTCATTCCTACTTTGACAAACTGGCAGGCTACCGAATGTAGCCTGCCCACAGGGCAGAGTCTGGCAAACTCCCCGTGGTGTACCCAATATGCCAAATACCAGTAACAATGATGGGTCTCATTCTCCTAAAGAGCCTTGAATATAATCTCAGGGCTAGGATGAAGGAGACGTTACTGGGGCCTGCTCGAGGCAATCGACGAATAACAGGATGATCTGTGATCTGATCTGTGTTATGACTAGTACACCAAAAATGATTCAAAAAAGCCTTCCTAGAGAAAAGTTTGTGAAGATCATTGTATTTCACCCAGGAGTCACTAAGCCCTTCTGTAAGAGATTAGTACCATGTTGTAGAGGTTTAAACTTGTGTCCTTATATCTATCTCTGTATAAATTTATTTCCCCCTAAGATTGGTCGCCTTCCACTTGAAACCCCCTCAAATGTGCTGTGCTACTCTTGGGATATTAGCGGTGGAAAGTATGAGATGAGTGAGGTTTGGCCCGAGCAAGTGAAGAACGCCATGGGCATGTGGCGGTTGAGTTCTGGAGGTTTTCCGCTGACAGGGCTGGGTCCCTTGGGGTGGGTAGGGGTCTTCATCCACCCTCCTCCGGGTTGCCCCAGTGAAACAGCCTAGTGCGGGGTCTGGAGGCATGTCTATGGCATATCATTACTTTTTTTCACTCTGGAAACAATCTGAAAGTAAATGAAAAATATGAAACAGGTAAGATTTTCTTTTACAATATTTTATAGGCATTAATGTAAATAATGAATCTCCTGTTGGAAGAAAGCTGACAGCACAATCTGAGAAAATTAATGGTGAGTATAAATAATAAGCTAGAAAACATGTATGCCCCAGACTCGGCTCCATGTACTTTTTTTTTTGTTTTTCTTTTTGGGTCACACCCGGCAATGCACAAGGGTTATTCCTAGCTCTGCACTCAGAAACCACCCCTGGCGGTGCTTGGGGGAACCATATGGGATGCTGGGAATCGAACCTGGGTCAGCTGCATGCAAGGCAAATGCCCTGTCCGCTGTGCTCCAACCCCTCGGCTCCATGTACTTTTAAATTTAGTTCATATGGGATGAAATAGCACCAGGGGTAAGCATATCTTATATTTGATTCCTGTACCCCATGGTCTCCCAGTTATTGCTAGAGAAGCCCCTGGGCCTCCTGAGCACTGCTTGTGAGACCCCCCCCCATCCCCAACAATAATAAAATAAATTCAGCGCATGTGATAACACTTCACTCGGGACTTGAAATTGTGTACAGTACATGGATGGGTTATATATGAGAGCTATCTCTAAAAAAATAATAATTCAACACCCATTAGAATTTGAGATAATATGCTAAGTGAAATAAGTGAGAAATCAGTTGCCAAATGGTTTCCACTCATGTGGAAAATAACTAAAGCAGAAAAAATCCCCTCACAAAACCGACTCCTAAACTTGGTGAAAACTGATTGTTCCTCAAGGGAAAGCAGTGCTGATGGGCGGAGTGGAGGAGAGGTCCTTTGAGGGAGTCCAAGCACTAGACCTGGAGTGGTAGGTGTGGTGCATCCTATACACCGCCTCAGGGCAAAGTTACATCCCTGAAATCGAGTGTGTTAACTAGTCACAATAGCAATTGAAAAATCACCTGGCATGTGACTGAAATTGGATAAAAAAAAAAACAGCCATTTTTTTGGTCATTCCTCAACCATCAGCCCCCATTATGTTTTTAAATAGCAGTAGGGTGTACTTTCTTGTTCCATACTTGTAATTTTGTAACAGGGGGACTCTGTCCCCAAATAGAGGCTGGCTTGTCTTTGATTCAAATGCCCACAGCACAGCTAGGCGTTCGCATTGCCATTAGCAGGCTTCTGTCCGTGTGGGAAAGGGTGAGACGCTAAGGAAGGTGAAATGCTCTCTAATGGGATACCTAAATGAGATCATCCTGTTTGGCTGGAACATCATGGGGAGATGGCTGATTGGGAAGCGCGTGCTAAATTGCACAAAATGCGCTGGCTCTGATTTATCCTTGTTTGTATTTATTTATCTGCCTGCTTCCAGCTGCTTGTCAGACGCTGCTGTCTCTTCCTGTGGATTTTAATTTAGAAAATGTATTAGGTAAGTATTTTATTTGTTTAAACCCTTAATAACTTAAATAAAAGGCTTTGTTTTTGATGGCTTTTTGTAAAAGCGAATAAATGGCAAACCCTCTTTCTACAAAAGAGTGGTTAAAGTCCTGAAGTTTCTCCCTTTTTCTTCAACATGGCCTGGGCGAATCTTTTTATCAAGCTGAACTTTATTGTAGATGTAAACTATTCATGAATGTATCTTTCTCGCATTACCTGTACTGATAATGAAACACTTATTACTACTTTCAGGATTAAAGCAACTTTGCCCTCCCTTTCTTTTTTTTTGAAAAACAACAGAAAACAATAACAAAAGCATATTTTTTTTGGTCTTGTTTTTGGTTTTTTGTTTGTTTGCTTGGTCTTGGGGTCATACCTGTTGATGCTCAGGGGTTACTTTATGGCTCTGTACTCAGGGATCACACCTAGCAGGGCTCAGGGGACTATTTGGGGTGCTGGAGATCAAAGCTGGGTTACATGCGTGCAGACCAAGAATTCTTCCCATTATACTCTCTCTCCGGCCTCCCAAAATATAATGTCATTTGGGCGGACCAGAGCAATAGAAGAGAGGGTAGGGCCCTTGCCTGCATGTGACGGGCCTAGGTTCAATTCCCTGCATCCCATATCCCTGAGCACTACTGCCAGAGTGATTCCTGAGTGCAAAACCAGGAGTAAACCCTGAACATTGTTTGGTATGGTTCCAAAACAAAAACAAACAAACAAAAAGATTATAATCATTTTTTGAAAACTCATCACAAATACAATTGCTCTTCAGAATGGCTCGTTTTGCCCTTTATCCGCAGGTGACTATTTTAGAGCTGATGAATTTGCAGATCAGTCTCCCGGAAACCTCAGTTCTTCTTCTCTTAGAAGGAAGCTGTTTTTAGATGGCAACGGAAGCATCTCTGACTCTTTATCTCCTCCGTCTCCCAGGAGTCCTCGTAGTGGGACTCAGGCATCACTTGAGGTCTTTTATTCAATAGATTTATCTCCTGTGCCATGTAAGAGCCCAGAGCAGACGCCAAGTTCGGTAAGGAGTGTTTTCAAGGGGCTGGTTAGTCTGCTGTAGATGGTCCTGGACCTAGACGCTCACGTTGCACTTAGAAGAAATCGTTGTCCTTTGGGTTTTTGTATTTCCTGACAACTAGACTTGTTCATCATTTGTTATGTTTCACAGAACCGTTTTGCATTAGATTCTCTGGTTTTGGTTTTTTAGAGGTATACACGTTTATCATGAGTCTAAAGGAATTTGAGTGGAAGTTCCTGGATGATGTAGCTTTATCGGTGTAGCCTATCTGAGTTGGCATCAGCACAGTAACTTTGGTTTTGAATTTTTCACGAATAGCTATTTGTAAGGAAATACAACATTTATTTTAGCACCTTACATTTATATTTCATTTTGACTTAAAATATTCTTTATGAAAGTTTCCTGAGTCTTCTCAACTGTCTTAGTTATGCCATGCACCTTTGTCTTTTGGTGAGTGACCAAAGTTTATATGATCTAGTTTATAAATGTGTTTGGAAGGTGGAAATGTGGCAAAATTGGTGGTACAGCTGAGGAAGAGAGTATGGGAGTAATCATCACTGTTCTGCCTTATTTTTCTCACAGGGCCAATTCTCTTCGAGCCCTATTCAGGGCAGCACAAAGAAATACAGTTTGGGAAGCATAGCCAGTCCTTCACCTATTTCTTCACCCAGTTTCTCACCTGTTGCGTTTCAAATAGGAAAAACGCCACTCTCAGGTACGCCTCATAATTAAACACCTAATTGAAATGAATATATTGTCAATATTTGTTCTAGCATGATCGTTATATAGCTCAAAATTTCTATTTTCTAAAATTTAAAATCTCTTATCTTTTTCTAATTTAATTTTGTTTAAAATGTTATTTATTTTTACATAAGGAGCAGTGGGCCAAAGCGATAGCATAGCGGGTAAGGTGTTTGCCTTGCACGCGGCCGACCTGGGTTCGATTCCTCCATCCCTCTCGGAGAGCCTGGCAAGCTATCCATGATGTATTCGATATACCAAACACAGTAACAAGTCTCACAATGGAGACATTACTGGTATCCGCTTGAGCAAATCAATGAACAATGGGAGGACAGTGCTACAGTGCTACATAAGGAGCAATATACTTTTAAAAACTGGATTCTCAGCCAAGTTAAATGCAGTCAATTTGATTACCAGAATGTATATCAAACATTCTTGTAAACAAATCAAGTAAAGCATAATTTTACGGGCCAGAGCAATAGGCAGTTGTAGAGTGGATTAGGGCACTTGCCTTGCATATGGCCGACCCGAGTCTGATCTCCAGCATCCCATATGATCCCCTGAGCACTGCCAGGAGTAATTTCTGAACACAGAGGTAGGAGTAACCCTGGAGCATCACAGACATTCCTTAAAAACAAAAAAGGAAGAAAGAAGAATTTTAGATTTACTCATTTTAGGGGTCAGAGAGATAGCTGTAAGGGCTGAGCTCAGGTTTTTGCGTGCTGAAGCTTCATTCCTGGCACCACATCGATTATATCACTTGATAGACACATAGGTAGCACTGCACTGCACTTCACTGTCCTCCTGTTTATCGATTTGCTCAAGCGGGCACCAGTAACGTCTCCATTGCGAGACTTGTTGTTACTGTTTTTAGCATATCGAATACTCCACAGGAAGCTTGCCAGGCTCTGCCGTGCGGGTGGGATACTCTCGGTAGCTTGCTGGACTCTGCGAGAGGGATGGAGGAATCGAACCCGGGTCGGACACGTGCAAGGCAAACGCCCTACCCGCTGTCGTCAAAATCATCAGTTTCTTACTTGTGTGCAAACACAGTGATATTAACATTCTTTTTGATGTTCGTCAATTGGGTACATTGCAGAAATGTCTTTTATACTTAATTCTTGTACCATTAATTGTCTTAATGACAGACTATTTTCAAATAGTTATTTTTTTATTATCAGTTCAGATGGCAGCGCTTTTCATGAGCAAATGGTCACTTATTGCTTTAGGCTCCATGTATTTTATTACTTCTGTGACTGGATACTTTATATGTATTTGTTTATAATTGAGAAGATTGTGTGCTTCTGTCCCTTTCTCAAAATTTTGTTTTGAAATGGATGAAATTATCAAAAGTAGTAAGTTTTAAAAGTATTTTTAGCATTTTGGTTATAAAACGTTTAACTTTTTATTGCAACTTTTATTGCAACTCTTACTTATAAGTTTGTTCCTTTTTAGTTTTAATGTTGCTTGTATTTTACATAAACCGACTTTTGCAAATTTGATTTACCAGGTTCAGTTATTGAATTATAGCTGTTGGTTGATTTATGCGGTATTTTCCTTCTGTATTGTTACCAGAGTAAATGAACTGATGCAGCAGTAATAGTTCTCAGGGAGTAAAATATTTTAATTAAAAGGGGAAAAGTGCTGGAAGAATTATTTTTAAAGCGCCTCATCCTCCTTATTGACACATTGATGTATGCTTTGGTATTAACATCAGAATTTCACTTGAATAAACAACATGGCCATTATAGAAATCCATATTTTTTCCCCTGATCTGAAATGTGGCTGACATTTATAAGTGACTTTTAACTTTGTCTTGTTTTTATGATGCGATTCTTTCCTTCTATCCTTTAGACCAAAGGAAGTTGACTTCACACTCACCCGATGCTTCGTCTGGGGCAAATGCGAATGGAATCACCAACCCCTGTGTCCGAAGCCCGTACATAGACGGCTGCTCACCAATTAAAAATTGGTCTCCGATGAGACTCGAGATGTATCAAGGCGGAACTCAGTATCGGACGTCACTGATCCGCATACCATTCACCCTTGAGACGCATAGTGAAGACGAAGAAGATAAAGCCAATAGTCTGTCCACTGTAACTTCATCCCCAGCCATGGACACCAATGGCCTCCATCTGAGGCCGGTGAACGGTGATGTGTCTCCACACTGCTCACATTTGGTGCTGACCACCATGTCTATCACGCAGAGCCAGTCCAGCGCCTCTGAGAAAGAGTTGGCCCTGCTGCAGGGGGCCGAACGGGAAAAGGAGAATGATACGGTAGATATGGTGGACCCCATAGAGATAGCAGACGACAACACCTGGGTGAAGGAGCCCGTTGGGAACGGCAGCTTGCCCATGACGGAGTTTGTGAGCGGGATTGCCTTCAATATTGAAAACTCGCATATGTGCATGTCACCTCTTGCAGAAAGCAGCGTCATTCCTTGTGAAAACAGCACTATTCAGGTAAGAGATCTTAGTAGGCCTGCATCCCTGGTCCTGGGTGTTTCTTTTTTCCCCCTGCTTTTCTGGGGTCACACCTGGCGATGCTCAGGGTTGACTCCTGGCTCTGCACTCTGGGCTGACTCCTGTTGGTGCTCAGGGAACCATATGGGATGCCTGGGCTCGAACCCAGGTTGGCCATGCGCCAGGCAAACACCTTACCCACTGTACTATCACTACGGCTCCTGTTCTGACTGTTCATAAATCTTTTTTTCCCCTAAATTTAGCATAAGAAAGTGAGTTACAAGTCATTGAGAAAAACACCAAGAGGTGAAGACACATGCCATACATGCTGTGGACCTCTGTCCAGTCTATATTTGTTTTAGCTGAATATTTATTTGGGGTTGAAAGTTCTGGTTAGATGCTTACTTTGCATGCAGCTGAGCTGGGTTGGATTCCTGGCATCCTGTATGGTACTCCAAACCCTGCCTGAAGCTATTTTTAAGTGTGGAGCCAGAAGCAACCCCTGAATCACCAGGTGAGGCCCAAAAAGCAGGAAGGAAGGAAGGAAGGAAGGGAGGGAGGGAGGGAGGGAGGAAGAGAGGGAGGAAGAGAGAGAAAGAAGAAAGAAAGAAAGAAAGAAAGAAAGAAAGAAAGAAAGAAAGAAAAGAAAAGAAAAGTTTCTTTGAGGGGCTGGAGCAATAGCACAGCCAGTACGGCGTTTATCTTGCACTCAGCTGACCCGGGTTCCATTCCCAGCATCCCATATGGTCCCCTGAACACCGCCAGGAGTAACCCCTGTGCATTGCCGGATGTGATCCAAAAGTTCCTGAGTGCAAAGCCAGGAGTAACCCCTATGCATTGCCAGATGTGACCCATAAAGCAAAAAAAAAGAGAAAAGTTTCTTTGATTTCTTTGATTTCACAAGCTGCCTGTTGGGCTAGTTCTCAGGACCTGATTTTCTTTTGTGCAGAACTTGTGCCAGAGGAATTCAGTGTAGTCTTGTTTCCAGTGGAAAATGTAGAGGGGGAGCCGAGCAGGATGTGCTCTGAACAGTGCGGCCCCATTCGTCTGGCTTGCCTGAACCTTGGGGGTGGACCCTCCAGTGCTCTTGAGAGGCTAGGGCTCGGGGAGCCTTGTTTGCACCTCTGTATGGCATGGATGTTTAAGTCTGCCCCCTGAGGTGGCCACAACTCAGCCTCTGGAGACCCGATGATCTTCACAAGGTGGGAGCTGGTGGCTGTCCCCTGAGTTTCCCGGGAATGGGGCTTCTCAGGTGGAGTGAGAATCGATTCTTTTGCAGGGAAAGGAAAAATCCATCTCAATCTCCACACAGGCCTTAGCTCTTTTATCTTGCATTGAAGAAAAGAAATACCACGGAAGACAGATAGAGAAGCAAATAGTTTTGTGCAGGCAGGGTACTCAGGGGCTGGAGCGATCGCACAGCAGATGGGGCGTTTGCATTGCACGCGGCCTAGCCAGGTTCGATTCCTCCTTCCCTCTTGGAGAGCCTGAGAGTATCCCGCCCATACGGCAGAGCCTGGCCAGCTCCCCATGATGTATTTGATATGCCAGAACCAGTAACAACAAGTCTCGCGGTGAAGACGTTACTGGTGCCCACTCAAGCAAATCGACGAACAGCAGGAGGACAGTTCTGCAGTGCTACAGGGTACTAAGGCTTCCCCCATACCAAATGAAGGGAGAGCTCTGAATGTAAAGGGAATTTTACATCCCAAAGGAAGCACGGTCCAGCCTAGAGTGGAGTGCTGTGAAGTAAAAGGATGAAGAATCACACCCCCAGAGTTGGGATATAGACACCCTAAAATGGGGTGCTCCGAGCTGCTCCTGTAAGCTGTCTCTGTGTGAGCTCAGGGTCATTGCCAGGGAGTTGTCCAGAAGGTTCATTTGGTTCTGGTGACATGTCCCAGATGGGCTGTGGCCTTGGCCTTGGGCAGGCAGTGGGGTAATGCCTCTGGAATATATCTTGTCTCTTCAAACCGTCCTTGCTTTTAAGGTGTTTAATCTGTGCAACCAATTTTTGGCTTGATGGCTCCCAGATATTCACTGTCAAGGTGTCTCCTACTTGATGCCTGAAAATACACAGTTTTGGTTTCTTTTTAGGACTGGAGTGATAGCACAGTGGTGGGGTGTTTGCCTTGCACGCAGCCAGCCTGGCTGACCTGGGTTCAATTCCTCCACCCCTCTCCAGAGCCTGGCAAGCTTCCGAGAGTATCTTGCCTGCACGGCAAAGCCTGGCAAGCTACCCGTGACGTATTCAATATGCCAAACACAGTAACACCGAGTCTCAAAATGGAGACGTTATTGGGCCCACTCGAGCAAATCGATGAACAACGGGAGGGCAGTGTGACAGACAGTGGTTTCTTTTTATGTCATTGAGTGAGAATAGAGTTTAGAGTTCTCTTCCATTTTGAGCCAGACCCAGTGGTGCTTGGGGGCTTATTCCTCACTCTTTGCTCAAGGATCACCCCTGGCAAGGCTCGTAGGTCCATATGTGGTGCCAGGGTTCAAACTAGGTCAGTTGTGTATAAAGTAAGCGCCTTGACTGCTGTACTGTCTCCAGCCCTCTTACTGTATTGGACTTTCCCTACCCCCTTGTTTTTTGGTTTGGGGTCCACACCCAGCAGTGCTCAGGGTTACTCCTGGTTCTGCACTCAAGAATCACTCCTGGCAGTGCTTGGGGGACCTATGGGATGCTGGGGATTGAACCAGGCTGGCCATGTGCAAGGGTGGTCATGTGCCCTACCTGCTGTCCTATTTGCTCCCGTATCAGACTTTCAAAATGTAATTTATGGGCAATGATCACACACTTCCAATGTTGAAATATCTGGCAACAGGAAAGCATGATTCACATAATAGATATAATTCCTATTTGACATTAACTTTCAGGGAGCCATTTATTCATTAGTCGTCATATTCTTTGAGCTGAGAAGTTTGAGAGAACTTCAACAGAGTCAGTCCTCTACTATTTCACAGTAATAATATCAAATACATAGGTAGCTTTTTATATGCTAGGAATGATTCTGAACCCTTGTGTTCGGGTACGTGTTAATCTGATCTTTACAATAGAAAGAAGTGTACTATTATCCCTGTTTTACAGATGAGAGGCTGAGGTCGGGGGGGCTACATCTGTTGCTTAAAGCTAATATTTAGTGAGTGGTAGGAAAACATCTGAATCTGGACAGCCTGACTTTGGAGTCCATGTTCTTTATTTTTTGGTGATGATATTCCTCCGCCCCTCTCGGAGAGCCCGGCAAGCTACCGAGAGTATCTTGCCCTCACGGCAAAGCCTGGCAAGCTCCCCGTGATGTATTTGATATGCCAAACACAGTAACAATTGTCACAGTGGAGACTTTACTGGGCCCGCTCGAGTGAATCGATGAACAACAGGAGGACAGGACACTGACAGTGACAGTGGCGGAGGCGTTGTTTGGGGGCTTCACCCAGTGATGCTCAGGGGTTCTTCCTGGCTCTACTCTCAGGAATCACTCCTGGCAGTGCTTGGGGGTCAAACCCAGTCAGCTGCATGCAAGGCAAACCCCTACAGGGTGTAGTCTCACTCCGGCCCTAGTCCACGGCCCTAGTCCACGCTCTTTAATTGGAATTTGCACTGATGCACAGTCATCATAAATGCACTGTTTGGGTGTGCTGGGCACTCTTTAACCTCTTGTGTGTCTTCATTCATTCATTTCTCAAGTTTTAAGCTAAAACTTAGAACTCAAGAAGGGGTTCTTTGGTAACCCCCAGATTAAGTATAATCTTTTACACATATTTTTATAACTTCAGGTTCATTACTTTTATTTTTTTTCTTATATTTATTATATATTATTATATATTATTATTATTATTATATATTATTATTATTATTATATATTATTCATTCTCCTAAATAGCCTTGAATATAATCTCAGGGCTAGGATGAAAGAGACGTTACTGGGGCCTGCTCGAGGCAATCGACGAATAACAGGATGATGAAATGAAATGAAATGAATATTTATTTATTGGATCACTGTGGGAAAAGTTACAAAGCTTTCAGGTTTAAGTCTTGGTCATACAATGATCAAACACCTTTCCCTTTACCAGTACTTATTTTTCACTCCCCCAAAACCCCCTCCCACCCCTCCCAATGCCTGTGAGGCAGATGATTTCTACTTAACTCTCTCTCTACTTTGATTACATTCATTATTTCAACAAAAGATGCACCATTATTGTTTAGAATTTCGCTCCAACAATCAGAATTGCTGAAAAGGCATTGTGAAATAATTTGATTTCTATAGCTGGTTATGAGAACTATATGATGTCACGTGGCCACTTTGTGGCTACACAATTTTGGATTTCTGGTATTTTACTAGGTAAGTCTGGAGGGATTTCTGCAAGGAGCCAGAATAATTACGAGATTGGTTTCTGTGCATCTGGTGTTATGGCCGTTCCGGAGAGCCGCTCGTGGGGGGCAACTTGTGGTCTCGGTAGGGCGTAAGGACAAGCCAGTATCACCCCTCTTCCCATGAGACTGCAGTTTCCCTGTCACCGCCGGCTCATACCTGGCTTTCCAATAAGCTCTGAGCTGGTGGCCACCTTGCTGCCGGGGTGGGGGAGAATGGCGGATAGGAGCAACACCCTCTCCTGGGGAGGCATGGTGCCGTAGTTTAATGCATAGTCCATTCACTTTTATGCTGCAAGCTGCCGGGCTCTGAATTAAGTCCTTTTGCCTCTGGAGCCGTGGCCCTGCTGGAGAGCTGCTCATGGGGGTTAACTCGTGACCTCGGTAGGGCGTGAAGGACGAGCTGGTACCGCCCCTCTTCCCATGAGATGAAATTCTGAAGTTTTAACACTTAAATCTGGAGGGATTTCTGCCAAAACCTGCTGGGTTCCGAGATTTGTTCCTCAGTCTCTGGGTTCATGGCCATTAAGCAATTGATCAGGAGCCAGAGAGGCCGTTTGTAGGCGGCAACTCAGGGTCTTGTTGGGATGGGGAAGAAAGGGCCAGCTCCACTCCCATCCCGTGAAGCTCCACGTGTCTCGTCACTTCGGGTTCAAATCTAACTGTCCAGTGGCCTCTGGAGGATGGTGGCCACCGGGCCACCAGGGGGGATTAGGCCAAGGCACAAAACCTATTCCCACCTGGGTTGGCCCAACACCGGTAACCTACTGCAGGGACCGGACGCATTTCTGCCAAAAGCCATTGGGTTTCGATATTTGTTTCTGAGTCTCTGGGATCATGCCCATTAAGCAGTTCAATCAGGGACCAAAGAGGCCTTGCCTCCAATTATATAGCTGAGCCTGAGGTGGTTCTGGGTGTGTCTCCCCCATACCTAACTTTTGGCCATTTACTTTCTTGGTAAATTTTGCCCCAAGTTTTTGGGGTCTGGCCTAAGGCACAGCAGCAATTTTGGGGTTTCTGGAAGTCTGATGCCCCATCAGGCTGCTGATACACTCGCCTCACAGGTACAGATTAACCTGCTGGCGGCACCATACCCCTGCAGGTTCATTACTTTTAAAAGCGAGTGGAGAGACCCGAGTATCAGTACAGCAGGTGGGGTGCTTGCCTTGCATTCAGTGGATCCGGGTTTTAGCACCAGGACCCTCTATGGTCCCTGATACCGCAAGGAGTCTTTGCTGAACACAGAGCCAGGAGTAAGCCCTGAGCACCACCACGTATAACCAAGAAAGAAATAAAAAATGTGTGGAGATAGCCCAGTAGTCTTTTTTTTTTTTTTAATGTTATTGAATCACTGTGAGAAAGTTACAAGCTTTCATGTTTGGGTTACAGTCACACAATGACCAAACACCCATCCCTCCACCAGTGCACATTCCCCACCACCAATATCCCCAGTATACCCCTCCCCTTTCCCACCCTCCCCCATCTCCATGGCAGATAATAGTATTCCCCATACTCTCTACTTATTTAGCCCAGTAGTCTTGAGTGCCTTCAGGAGATCCATATTTGATCCCTGGCACCACAAGATCCCCTGAGCATCCCTGGGAACAGCTCCCAAGCACAGCCAGGAGCACTGGTGGGTATGACCATCCAGAATCTTTAAGACAAACACAAAAGCCTACACTAGCACAGATTTTAGCTTCTGAATAGAAGCAGTGCATGGAGTCAACCTTAAAAGGATTAACTTCTTTTCCTCTCTTTACTTCTCTATTTTTTATAATGATTATAGAACTACAAGATAATTTTGTTGCAATACACTTTAATCATCTAATCCATCCTCCGCTGAAACCCTCAGTAACTACCAGATTTTCAGCCCCTCTTTGCTTGAATGCCTGCAGAAATATCCCAGCCCATTTGGTCCTTCTCTTCCATTGTAAGCTTTAGATTGAACTACAATTTTGTTCTTTCTGTTAAGACCACCAGTCTGTACCAGTTTTGCCTTTGTGCCATCCTAGGAATGTCTATCTATGGCAGGGCATTTTTGTTGTTTTAAAAAAAATTTCTCTTAGGCTGGCTCTGCAAGCCTGTATTAGCCCTTGAATATGCGTCTCACTTGCTTCTCTGTTTCTTTGCTTGCCTTTTTCCACTCTGGAGAAGCCTGTGTTCTCTCTGGCACACACACCTCTCGCTTTCTCTCACATCTTTTTAAATAAGTTTCAACGAAAACTATCTTGCTTCACACACACACACACACACACACACACACGGTTTTTATATATGTTTATTTTGCTCCCACAGAGCCTTTTGGCTTCAGAGTTTGTGGACTAGTCTCTTGGTGTATGTTATCCAAGTGCTAGAATATCTTCCCCTAGTCATTCTGGGGATCCTTTCACCTCTTTTTTTTTTTTTTATTAGTGAGACACCATGAGGTACAATTGTAGACTTACAAATTTTTGTGCTTGGGTTTCAATTATACAATGATCAAATACCCATCCCTCCACCAGTGCCCATTTCCCACCACCACGGATCCCAGTGTCCCACCCACCCACCCCTGCCTCTATGACAGGGCATTCCCTTTTGTTCTCTTTCTTCTATTGGGTGTTGTGGTTTGCAAAAGATTGCCTCTTTTGAGTTGATTTCCTGGTGATTGCCATTCCATTCTTTTATTCTTTCTCCTGGTTTAAATACCCACTTCACATTTCACTAGCTTTGTTACCCAGGAGAGAGGCCTTGCGTGCAAACCAGGAAGGCTCGTGAAGCTGGCCGTGGTGCTCAGCATCTGTGTGTGGGTGCTTGTCAAGGGGACCAGTTCTGGATCCCCGCTTACCAGCTCATCCTGTGCTGACCTTGTCTGCGAATGGGGTTGTTCCCAGGAGCACCTGAGAAAGGGAGTGTCAGACAGGGCCTGGACCCCACTGCGCTCGTCCTTTATATGTGCCTCAGAGGAAGCTTGCTGAATCCCCCTTTTGTTCTTCCTTTTAGTTTGAAACAGAATGCTAGAGACTGTTATAATTTTAATTAAGATGGAAAGTTGAACAGCTAGACCCCTGATATATGTGGTATAAGCCTGACCTGTATTTCGACAATTGAGATAGGTAAAATGTAACCCTTTTTTAAAATAAAAAAACAAAATAAAACGTGTATTATCAGGGCCAGATACATATTCGGGACTTAAGTGTTTACTTTGCCTGTGGCAGACCCTGGTTTGATTCCATGTACCACAAACAGTTTTCTGAGCCCCATGAAGAGCCAGGAGTGGGCCCTGAGCACTGCTGGGTGTGGCCCTAATCCCTATTTCCACCCCAAAGTGTCTATTAATTGCTCAAGTGTGCCTTTTTGGGAAATTTGAGATGCAACCAAGCCTTTTAGAGATACATTTGGTTAATGATTTGGAAGGTAAAGTTGGTTATAATTCATATTTTGATCTTCTGGGTACAAAGTAACAGGCAAGTACATTCTTGTTCACTAGTCTGAGTGCTGGCATTTGGAAGAACCAGTACTGTTTAGGACTTTCGGTTTTTTGCCTTACGCGTCACCCAGTATGAGCACGTTAAAATGACATTGCATTTTAATGAAGGGTGTATAGTGATTGATTTAAATTTTAAATTCTTTTAAGTAACCCCCCCCAAGGCCCTCCCCTTCATTGTTGCTGTTGTTTTCTGGGGTGGGGGTCTCATACTTCAGTTGTAGCACCCCTATCAAATTGGGCATGTGGCATTACTGCAGATCAAACACCTGCAAGGCAGCTGCTATATCATTCAGTCACACCGCAGGCCTGAATGCTAAAATATCCTATATTTCATATATGCATCTTGCAAATTTTTTTAAGGTTTTTTTTTGTTTTGTTTTTTTTGTGGGGAGAGGGGCGCGTCCATCAATGCTCAGGGGCTCTTCTGGTCTCTGCTAGCAGGGGAGCAAGGGGGTTTGCTCCTAGCAGTGCTTGGGGGCCCATGCTGTTTCAGGGATCTAACTCAGGCCTCCTGCACCCAAATCACTTCTCTTTGTATATATAAATATAATCCATATAATTTTTAAAAATTGTGAACTAAGTGGATTATAGTTTGTGGTATAATCCTTACGTTTTCATTTCTTTATTCTTGCCAGATGGACAGTGGCTATAATACACACAGTTGTGGAAGCAATATGATGGATACGGTTGCAACCGAAAGTTACTGCAAGGAAAGTGATGTACAGAGCTTGGAAGTTGAAAATAAGTCTCAAGTTTTTACAAAGGTATGAAACTACCCATAGAGAAACCTTTGACATGGCTATATTTAGGTTTCAAGTATTTGGTAAACGTGACTCTTTTACAGCCAGTTTTTGCTTAAAATGTTGTCACCTATGCCTCATCCCAACTCCAAAATAAAAGGTCTTATTTATTTTGTGGCTGCCAGGAATCGAATCTAGTGCCCTGTACGTACATGCAAGGTGGACATTCTACCACTGTTACATCCCCTAACTAAGATCACTTTTTCAATCAAAACATTCAGTTCTCAGAACTTCTGTAAAAGAGTTTAAGCGAGATCCTACTCAAATTTATGCAAAACTGTGGGAAAACTATTTTCTTAAGGGATAGGAATAAAGGATGTGAAGTAGGACTCAAAGGTTTTTGCATCTAATGTTCTCACAAAGCTGATAATAATTGTCATTATTAGAGACACGGTAGTATATACAACTGAGGCACAGCAAATTAAAGAGCACAAATCCTACAAGTTAAGGGATGTTTATGAAAACCCAATAGCTTGAAATAGATTGTGGGTGCTCTGATAGAGGTAACATTTTACATAATATTTATACAAAGGTACACACTGTTGGTCAGGATACTTTTATCAAACCATGTAGACAGGATGGTAGCAACATGTTCCTACTTGAGGAAATCCGGCATAACCATCAGTGTCAGCAGACATGCAACCAAACATAGATTTATGAATAGTAAGAGTTCAGAGTAGTGGGGACATAGTGTTGGCTGAGTGTGTGCATTGCATGTAGGAGCCCCCGATTCACTCCCTGGCACTGCATGGTCCCCTGAGCACTCCTGGGAGCAACCTGAGAACCCTCAAGCATTGCCCTAAACCCAAAAAAAAAAAAAAAAGTTTCATATGGAAAGCACCTTATTTTCTCTTTTCTCCATTTTTTTTTTTATCACAAGACAACATCAGTTGTCCACTAAGAGTAAGCCAGCAAACATCAATAAGCAGTTTTGTTTTGTTTTGTTTCTTTTTCCCCAAGTGTATTCCTAAAAGTAAGGGAAAAAGCAAACCCGAGTATCCTTGCCTTCCTCTAGAGTTCACCTATGGAAATCTGTGTTGTTTCTAAAACGTTCATAGACATTGCTTCCTGTAATTGGCCATATTTCACCTGAAATAAAGTATTTTCATCATTTTTTCTTTCGTCGCAGGACCGTGTAACACCGAGGTGTTGGAGGAAAACAGGAGATGTTGCTCGGTGCAGCAGCCCGTGAAATACCTCTCTGAAGCAGATGCTGCGGGGCAGCTCGTCGCTTATTGTCCGTGCACATGATCAATAATGTGATTGTGATTGGGGGAAAAAGAGCTTCAACGTGGTTAGCTTTATCTTTCCTTCCTTAATGTGAAAAAAATCAAAGGCTTAATTTAGTGATACAGGAACAATTGAAAAGCTCCTGGAACTTTTCAACAATTGAAAACCAAGTTTATTTTTTAACCAATAAATATTTTTGTACTTACACTGTGTGAAGTGTTCAAAAAATGCAGAGAGTAATGACTTTGCTCAAAGAGGGTAAATGAACTGCTTATTCGTTAGCCATCCTGACTAGCGCAAACTTAAATATCTGAAAAAGTGGAACTGAGAAGGTACTCTTTTATGAATAGACATTGAAGTTAAAATTTAACCCACATAAAACACATCAAGTCTCAGTATCTTGTTTTGGTTTTTGAGTCCTGGCTCTGTGCTCAGCGATCACTCCTGGCAGGGCTCAAAGGACCATACAGGGTGCTGGGGATTGAACCTGGGTTGGCTGCGGTGTGTCAGGTAAACACCCTACCCACTGTGCTATATAGCCCCAGCCCTAAATCTCAATGGCTAACCTACGTGGTAAGCATGATACCCAAAATGTTTTGATGACTTAATGACTGGATCATTTTTCAGTTCCTGTTATCTGTTACTAGAATACAAAAATACTAGGGGCTGGTGATACAATGGTCATAGCAACTGACTTGCATCTGGTCAATCCTGGCTTAATTTTGGGGACTACATGAGATCTGAACACCACGAGACGTGACCCCCAAGCACTGCTGGCTGTCCACTTCCCTACTTAAATGATAGACAAAAATGATATTAGCTGCCATCTTCAAACTGTTGGGAGGTTAAGTGGGATCCCCTAAGTATACATCCATTCTTTCAGGCTAAATGGGTGGCTGGGAAGTTTGCATAGGGATTCAGATCTATGAAGTTCAGCAGACATGTCACGGTCACTATCCTCCCGTTGTTCATCGATTTGCTCGAGCGGGCCCAGTAACGTCTCCATTGGAGACTTTGTTGTTACTGTGTCTGGCATATCGAATATGTCACGGGGAGCTTGCCAGGCTCTGCCGTGCGGGCGAGATGCTCTTGGTAGCTTGCCGGGCTCTCCAAGAGGGGCGGAGGGATTGAACTAGGGTCGGCCATGTTGGCCGCTTGTATGGCGAACGCCCTACTGCTGTGCTATCGCTCCAGCCCAGCAGACATGTAACTTAAGTTTTTAAAACCTACCATAGGATGGGGCTGGGGCGATAGTACAGTGGATAAGGAGCTTGCCTCCTATGTGGCTGACCCAAGTTCAATCTCTGGCACTCCCTATGGTCCACCAAGTCTACCAGGAGTGATCTCCGAGCACAGAGCCAGGAGTAAGCTCTGAGCACTGCTGAGTGTGGCCAGAAATTAAAAACTTATGATGGGAGCCAGAGAGATGATACGGTGTGTAATACAGTGCTTGCTATGCAGGTAGCCAACCCCTGAAACACTGTATGGTTCCCCAGGCTCTGAGGAATGAGCACAGCCTGGTGTGACCCAATCTACACACCGCCCCTGCCCCCCTTTCCCAACCCGCCCCTCCACACACACACACCACCAATTCCAAAATGAAACAACGATGCTAAGAGTGGAACAGGCATATCAAATTCTTAGAAATATTCTTTACTTTCGAAAAAATTTGTTCTTGCTTACAAATCACCTGTTAAAAGCTGCCTCATTCAAAAGGGAAATCAATTCATCTGTAGCCCTGAGAAAATTATCATTGTGACATTTTCTTCCTTGTTTGTTTGCGACTGGTAAGCATACCCTAACATACCAAAATGCTTTCTTCCATAGATCCCTCCATCCTCCCATCCCCACTCCTCACCCCCACTAACAAAGCCAAACGCTTCTAGCCAGCTGCTAAAAATATCTTTATCGAGTCCTTAATCCCCCTTTCATATAGATAATCCCATACTCATTATGAGCTCAAATCAACCGCTGTAGATCCAAAAGAAGCCTCCTGGGCTGTGCATTATAAACAAACAGGTCAAGAATAGGAACAAAAACAGTGATTATAACTTGCATTCGAATCTCTCCTGCCACAAACTACAAGATCTAGGCATCAGAACAACCAGTATGCTCATCTGTGAAGTAGGTATAACAGTCCGAGCTAATGAGGATTTTGAAGAGAATGGTTCCATAGCACAAGAAAAGGTGAAAGCTTGCTGTTTGCTGCCTCTTGGATGGAACTGGAGGGCACTGTTACATGAAGCCAGTCAGGAGGAGGACAAGGAACAATCTCTCTTATCTGTGGTATACAGAGAGGCAAAAGGAAGGGGATGGAGAATGAGGTCACATCCTTGGTCTTTAGAACATGCAGCCTGCTGAGGTGGAGCACAGGGGGATGGTTGGAAGATGGAGATGAGGGGGCTCTTGGGGCACTTAAGTAATGGTGATGGTGTCACCAAGATGACAAAGATAAAATGATTGTAAACACGTTACCTAGCACTGTTAGCACTGTCGTCCCATTATTCACTGATTTGCTCAAGCGGGCACCGGTAACGTCTCCATTGTGAGACTTGTTATTGTCTTTTGGCATATCGAATACGCCACGGGGAGCTTCTCAGGCTCTGCTTTGCGGACGGGATACTCTCGGTAGCTTGCCGGGCTCTCCGAGAGGGGCGGAGGAACCAAACCTGGGTCAGCCTCATGCAAGGCAAACGCCCTACCTGCTGTGCTAATCATTCCAGCCCGAAACAACAAAAAATTCAAAACAATCTTCCATGTCCACATGAGCTGCTTAGTGTAAGAAAGGCCGCAGGAGCGTTTATGAGCATCAAGGAAGAGGCTCTGGTAAAACCACCTGCTTGTCTTCAACCACTCAATAGAGACATCCCACTGTGGCCTTCCTCATAAGTGAAGCACAAGGAAACCTGAAGTAGACCCAGCTTTGTGTCACCAACAACATTTATCTTCCCAATCCACTCACTTGATACCAACTTCACTTCAGGCAGTGAGGACGCCAGGGGTGGAAGTCATGTAGCTAACACTTTGTGACTCAGAAATTACATTTGAATGGCCATGACCATACATGTGATTTTGTCAGACTATTGCCGTCCTTCTTTCTTGCTGTCCAGCACTGGCATTATGTTTGTACCAGACCGTATGGCTTACACAACCCAGGTGTCTGGCACTTCACAGGAAAGGCTGACCGATTTCTACTTGCATGTGTCAATTCATTTGCTGTGACCCAAGAGGACCAAATGTCAGCTTTCTTGAACAGACCCAAGTTCTGTTTCAGATTTTTTGATAACAGGAAACTGGTCAATCATGTACCAGTTCTTGAGTACACAGAGGACTGTGTACATTGTAGTTATGTCTGTTAAATATACTTGCTCAAGTATTTGCCAGGCTTTTCTCATTGGAGACAAATTGCTTGACTGGTGATGAGCTCAGTACATTGTATTCTGTTCTATTTGTTTTTTGGGGCACACCAGAAGTGCTGAGGGCTTGTTTCTGGTAATGCTCAGGGGACCATATACGGTGCCAGGGATTGAACGTGGGCTGGCCAGATGCAAAGCAAGCACCTGACACCTGTACTGGCAATCTGGCCCTAGATTGTATTTTGGAAACCTAATCAGCAAGGCCTGGGTGCTGGCTCAGCAGCAGAGCACTCTCCTTGCCTATGTGAGGTCCTGGGTGTGATCTTCAGCACCATCCAAACTCAAACAAAAATTTCTACAGTAATGGTATTAAAAATATCTTGGGGGGAAAAAAAACGGTATTTGTTACTAATACCTGTGGATAAGAAAAAGGAGCAGTCTCTCTGGCTCCAAATGATGTTTTTAATGTGTTCTTAGTATGTCCTTACCCAATTACCCCCTTTTGCTATATAATATGTGTGCAGTTAAGGAAGGAACATTACGCGTTGACTTTTTTATTGTTGTTTTTTAGGGTTTTATTTGGGGAGGGTAGGGGCACCGCTTGGGGGGGAGGGGCTACTCCTGGCGCTCTGCTTAGGTATCACCCTGGTGGTTCTTGGAAATCGAGCTCAATGCTCCAGGGTTGTTTCTGGCAGTGCTCGGAGCACGCAGTGCTGGTGATCCACCCCAGGAGTTCCGCATGCCCTCAGCCTGACCAGCATGTCTGGCCCCTCTGCTTCACATGATGTGATTTATAAAGGGGGCTGATGTTATTGCTAAGAGCGGAGAACGCGGGAAGGGATGACGTTATTTATAAGGGCGGGGGGTAGTCTTTGTTATATCTGGAGAGAGGTTGTTTTCTGATAATTCAAGTAAAAACGCAAGTTTTGGAGCGAGGCTCAGATATTTTTAGTTTTCTGAAAAGGAGAGGTTAAGCTTAGGAATCGCTGATGGAGATTTTTTTTTGGGGGGAGGGCACTATCAGCAGTTTACTCCTGGTTTTGTGCTTAGGGATCACTCCTGCTATGGACTGGGGAGCGGGCGGGGGCACATATGGTCTGCCGGGGACCAATCCCAGGTCAGCAGTGTGCAAGCCAAGCACCCTACCCGCTGTGTCAACTTTCCAGTCCTTGATGTGTCATTTCTATTCTTTGAGCTTAATGTCTTATTTAGTGAGAAAACGGAATTGGAGGTCAAAAGGATGATGATGATCACACTGATTTCCCAGTATTAAAAAAAACAACTACTTTCCCACACAGATCTAAATATCCTACTTCTTTTCTTCCTACAACATCCAATTCCCAAACACACAGTTGTTCAAAGACCACTAATAAGATGCAGAAGGCTTTTTAACAAAGTGAGCACTTAATGAAAGTTAGTTAAATTCAAGCTGACAAAGGAAATTAAATACTGAATCCTTTGACAGATCTTGACTTCATTGTCTTAAAATCTCAAATCTGCCATATCAAGCACTGACAGCTTTCAACATTTATAAAGAACAGATTGTTCGTAGCTTCTAAAAATAATCTGTTTTCCTCCATGGGAAAATGATAGGTTTTTTTCCCCTATCAATATTAAATAATCAAATTACTTATGTAAAATTAATCTGCTCTTCAATGAGCAGACGGATATACCATTGAAATGATCTTTTCAGATCCTGAAGGTGCTGTCCTGTCACCATGTAAGTGATAGATATTCAACTGAATTTTCCTGCATCAACAGTTCTGCTCAGAAATGAAGCGGCATGATGGGACAGACAGAGCCAACAATTCAAT